CCGACGTCGGCTACTATGAAAATCCATGTGAAACGTCGACGTAAACCTAGATCCAGTATGAGGGATTGCTCTCCATACGTCTGTATGCTTGTGTGGTTAGCTGCCCGGAGGGACAGTTTTCCGGGTGTCCGTGTAGATCGCCTGGATAGTGAAGGAGGGATCACGCTAACTTCTGCTCCCGTGTCTACCAGGAATAAAGTGTCTGAAGTTTTGTCTTTCACATAGAAGAGGCGACTTGTTTGCTTGCCAGTAACAGCTGTCGCCATCACTGTCTGGCTAAGGCGTTTCCCTGAGCCTGGTTGGCTTCGCTAAAGCTGCACGGTTTTACACATTTCAGGGCATGACGTCTAAACTTCCAGTTATACCAGCATATATTACTATCCCGAGAAGACGTGTGAGAACGCTGTCGTGAGAAGGATCGTCGACGTGATGGTGACCTTCTTTGTGAACTCAGCCTCCGGACTCGTCTATCAGACCTATTGGTTTCCAACTTGTCAATCCTTGCCGCTAAGTCTGCAATGGTGGCGAGTATCGGTGTGTCTGCCGTAGGTGTGGAATGACACAGTGCGGCACTATCAGATGCTATGTGACTTATGGTGTTATCAGATAAAACATCCATAATACTATCTGCCATGTCACTTAGTTGGTCTAAGTCATACGAATTTCCCGAGATGATTAAAATTTGCTGGACATTTCTAGGTAAACGTTGCAACCACATCTGTTTCAGCACTACCTCGTCTACTTTATGATGTCCGATTAACTGGCGCATGTGCCTGAGCAGCTGGGATGGTTTACGTGGGCCTAGTTCACAGCCTGTGAGCAATTGTTGGATTCTTTTCTCATCCGACAGACTGGTGCGTTGTATGAGGAGGGCTTTAAGTTTATCAAATTGATTGTCCGTCGGAGGATCTTCGATGAAATCGCTGATTTCTGTCAATACTGACGGAGGGAGTTCTGCCAGCACCATACCATATTTGGCTATTTGGGACTTAATGCCCCGTGCTTCTAGCAACGGTTCAATTACCGCAAACCAAATCCTTGGTTCTGCGAAACCGTATTGGGGTAAACGAAAATCAGTGATGGCATTTATTGTGGCATTTGTCTCGCTGTTAGTTGTCTGCTCGTTCGATGTACCGGACTGAGGTGACGACATTATAAATTTGAGCTTATCGGTGCAAATTAGGATACAAATATAAACCACACACAAAATCACAATGAATATACAAAATAGCAGAAATAAGAATATGAATATGCCAAAATAATCCGTGTTCTTATCGGGTTCACCAATTAATTTGTAGGTACTTATACTAGAGTTCACTAACATTATAAATATAATATATATAATATAATAATCCAAGTCAATGGAGTGTTAAATAACAATATATTACCAAAAATGCAGTGACGAGTTGTATCAACAAAAAGGATTACTTGGATATAAAGTCTAAGTCCTCTGCTACAAATTATGTATATAATCCACGGGCGCGTTAATTGATTGGGTTGCGTCTGCTGTAGCTGCTGTGTTCCGGTTGTAGAAATGTCTTCGGTTGAGAGTAGTAGACTCCTACAATAAATCCGAAGTATACAACACGGTGTGAGTTGAGCAAGTAAGCAGAAATGACCAGGGAGAAGATGAAGTCTCCAACAGCAGAGTGTATTTTTCAATTGTACACGGAAGTTATGTATATTTCAACAGGAAGCGTTTTAAACAAAAATTATGTACAATATCTCTGATTTCTACAAATAACCAAAAAGTGTCCAATCACATTGTTACCTACTCCACAAGTCCGCAGGAGCTGATGCTTGTGCGTCCTATGCTCATGGTTGCACACTTCGCTACATCCATCAGGAGCATCCATTCTATTGAAGACCCTGGTTGAGGCCTTCCTGCAACGTCAGCGTGTCACTGTCACCCTTTGGCTCTCTCAAATATTTTAGGTCATCTGCGTGTAGGACAAAAGGGAAAACGGTGAGCAGAGGTAAGGCCCGAGTAGCGTACACCGTGGCACTCCGCTATGTAAAAAGAAGCAACTGAGTATTCGCTTTCCATTATAATAAAAGTTTTTTGTATTTCCCAGTGAATGAAAAACAAAACGATAGTGTTTTTACTGACGCTTCGCTATTTAATGCTAATAGCTTTATCAAAGTATTATAATTATAAAGCAATAATTCGGTTTCCATTTTAGTCGAAGCATAGTAAAAAGGTAATTTTTTTCTCCTGTAACACTTTGCTTCAATTTGTTATCTACTTTTGTTTGTGTGGAGCAACACTTTAGTCGTGGTGCAGGCGGAATTACAAAACACTCTCTTGACGCGTCAGAAAAATGGATAGAGTCTCAACATTAGCTGAACCTTTAGTCCGTTTCAGCAAGGATTCCGTCCACTTTATCAATCGCTGCACGAAGCCTGATCGAAAAGGTAGTTGATTGATTCAATCTAATTCAATATTAGAGTTTAAAAAGAATGCTATTGCTACTGCGGTTGGTTTCTTTGCGATGGGTGTGCTTGGTTTTATCATTAAATTGATTTTTGTCCCGATTAACAGTATAATCGTCGGAAACTAGTGTTTTTTGGCGTGTATAAAGTTTCTTGTATGTAATTTTGATTTCATAAATACTCTGATTTAACCCATTGTTTTTATGTTATTCGAAATAACTCAGGCTTTAATTTAACACTGTGTTTTCTATACCACTTTGGTATTTTCATATTATTGATGCGGTCTTCAATTAATTTGTACAGTTTCGTTGTTAGTGTAAGAGTCACGGCTGTATTGTTCACTGAGTGCGTCATTTGACAAATTCACTAATACCCTTCTGTTGCTTGCTCATAATTAACATTGAAGGATTTTGGAGTTACCTAAAAAAGTTAAGCCATATACGGATTGAAGAGTAAACTCAACTACTAATCAGGGTGTTGTATTCCAATTTTTTCCAGCTGGAATTTAAGTAAATGGCTTAGATGTTCTGACTATAAGTCTTCAAAGTGTTTTTGGGAACATCCGGTATGTCGCAGTGAATGACGACAAACTCCATATGCATTTCCGTCAAATTGGCCTAGGTGATGAGCTAATCTGCGCAGAATTTCTTCCACGTAAATATCATTCCAAAAACCAAAAGGGAAACAAGGGTGTTGTTGAACCAAAATGAAAAAAATGTAGGAGATAGCTTAGATTAACGACGACATAGTCGAGAACTTGGAAATGCGGTTACGCAAAACTAAGTTATGACATCTGCCGCATCCAATAGTAGCAGTTTACTGTGTAAGAACTATCAGAAAACTAATTTCTTATGGCATTCGTCTTTTAGTCCTTGGTTTTCTATAGAGATACGTATGTGAAAGAGCCTGCATTGTGTACAGTTTTCCATACATCTTGGATATCTGTTGTGATCCTTTCTCGCAATGTCAAACAAAAGCTTAATAATATGCATTGTACTCAATTGACTTAGTTGCTATCCTCAAATTTCTGAAGTTGTTGATGTATCGATGTATATGCGCATTTTGTTTGTCCAGCTATAACTTCTTATAAGATTGAAGATTTCATAGTGTTTCTTAGTCGTACAATAACAACCTGAGAATGTAAATAAGAGCCGTGTTTGTGTTTAGTGCTTATTCGATACAATTGTGTAAGTAGAGTGCACCTCCGATAGTACCATGAAATGCATCATTCCAGCTCTCTCAGAAATAACCGTAGCTAGTGTTGAGCTTTGAAATAGTCTAAATTTATTATGCGGTTACTTCTCTTTAGCTTGATGTTGAATACACGCTTAAATGGAATCCAACAATTTGGAGTTAGTTCGTTTTAATCAGTGAACACTCCCTAATTAATTAATAAAGTTTTGTATCCCGCGGAATTGTGTTCCACATAATTGCGTGGAAAATTGAATAAAAACTTCAGTGAGTATGGTTGTTAAACGGTGCTTTAATTCCACCATTCAGCTTTAATCCTGTATCTAGTATGCCGTTTAAGAATCTACACTGATATAATTCACGCGTCCCCTGTTTGTCACTTAGCTGCCTAAACAACTACAATCTTTAGCAAGCTGATAAGTTAAACTTCTACGAGTGGACTCAATTCAAATGAAATGTCTTGACGGGCTAGGTATTGTTAGATTTACGGAACTATCACGTCAGGTTAGCCTATTGCGATTCCGCTTTAAAATTCAGCACCCAAGGATAGCAGAAACTAAAAGCCTTTAGTAAACTTTACCCTCTAAATGCCGAAAAGCCAGTTAGCGTTAATGTACTAGAAGTAGGTAACTGATGAGTTAGTTAGATAAAAGTGTAGTGAGTTCCGATTCGTAGAGTTCCGCATTAAGGGAGGGTCAGCGAACTTAAACTATATCAAACATCGTGGCAAATGATCTTCACCGAACAATTAGATTCACACGTAATTTAGTGAAAGCAAATTGTACCCAGTATTCTGGATTTACCGAACGATTTTCAGGAAGATAGGATTAATACTACGAGGACAATGGAGTTGGCCAAACGTGTAAACGCGGAGGAAGCTTGACACGATAAATGGTCTGTGCGAGGGGGTGAGATGGGGAAAACAATCAGAAATACAAATGGATCTCAGAATACCGTGATCTGTTGTTACCTTCCTAACAATTCTACGACTTTTATTGCTCCTTAGTTCTGACTAATCGCTAAAGTGGTTAGTGGTAAATTCGATCGAGTTGGCTGTTATTGTTTAATTTTCCTGGAGGTTTGACTAATGAGTCACTGTCTTGAGAAAAACAGCCGTTGAACAGTAGTTCTACCGTTGTAGTTTTTGGTTAACAAATGAGGGTCGCAATTCAGTGATATTCAGGGTAATGCCGTTCACTTTTATTTCTCTAAGCAATGAACTATATATTTATCTATTATACCAGAGTCAGTGGTACTTCTTGATTGCTTAATCCAAGTAGAAAACGTAATCACCTAAATCAACTTCGCATTTTAAAGAGTAAATAAGGAATTTATACACAAAAATAACGTTTATTTTATAATAAATGCACCAATATTTACAAAATATCAACAGTAAAACGATTAGATGGTGTACTGTTAAGCCCAAAATGTTCACGTAATATATGGAATGACTTTGAAACTTCATTACGCTTAGCATATTCATTCATTGAATTCAATGCTGTTGCCTAAATAGAAGAGAAAAAGGAAATAGAGGGAATACATTAGTGCAAACTGTGGCTTGAATCTGCTAAGTGAAAATAATAGTAACAATTACATACTGACTGAACAGTATTTGATGTGCTAAGTGAGGGAGTGTTTTTTGTTGTCAGGTGATTCGGATTACTCCTTTACGGCTGTAAGACATGGTCATTCAAAGTGGAAAATACGAAAAGACTGGCTATCTTTGATCATAGGTGCCTGTGTTTTATCTCTCGTGTTTAGTGGTATAATACGATGAGCAATATTGAGTTCATTCGTCTGTCGAGTGCTAGGTAAGGAGGAGTCAGCAATGTTAGCTGACACAGGATTGATCAGGTTAGAAAAGAGAGAGCTACTGGTGGTCAAACCAAAATATGGCTTCATCAGTCAGTGAAATCCACAACAGTTTAATCCAGCCAGCCAACCACGTTGGGAGGTGAAGACTGGCTTTGTGGTTGGGGTCCTCGGGACGGTAGGGACCAATGACGACTGGAGACAATTAGTGATATGGCTCAAAATCCTTGTTGTCAATGGCTGGCGCAGATGCATTCATTCTTTGTGATTTATAATATCCAATAAAATTCTATTGTTCTTCCATATTACTATTCTTTTTACCTCACCCACACTTCTGTTTATTATCTTTCTCTGTTTTGAATCTCTACTTACCCTCTTCCCTTGCTCTGTGTGGTATATGGAGAGTGGGAACTCGAACTTTTGCACACCTGTGCAAAGTTCTATGGCGAAACCAGTTAGTCAATCAATCATTTAGAATTTGCTAAACAGACATATAGTAACACTTAAAAACTGATTAAACTGTATGATATCATTCAAAAAAAACCAATATATGAATAACTGATATGCGAATTGAGGAAGGCTTTATTGTTACTAAGCGACTTGAATTACAGAAAACACAAGGAAAAACAACTATTAAAAACTAATGGCATATGAAGTATTTTGATGTGAAAAGGCAATTGGATATAGCCTACACCGATTGACATCGAATCTTACTTTAAGGTTGCTACTTAGTTCGAACATTCAAAACCTCCATGTAGTACTGACACAAGACGTCCGACTTGCTACCTAGTATACAAGTACTAACTCTCACACAGGGTTATGTCGAGTTAAATTGTAAGTGTGAGCAACGGTGGTGGTTACATCAGGTACCAAGTGAGAGAAGAGTATACAGACGACAGTGTCATCTTACCGTGCAATAATATACTATCCGTCTATTTTCAACATAGGACTTTGCACTGATGTGAAACAGTTCAAGTCGCCACACTTCACTCAGCACACAAAGCAACAGAAGAAATCCAAAATATAGACAATAGACAGGGATATGAGACAAAAGGAATAGTACTAACGAAGAACAATATAGTTTCACTGGATATAATAAGTCACAAGGAGTGGATGCATCTGCACCAGACACTGAGAACGATCACTTTGAGCCATATTACCGAGTGTCTCCAACCACTAGTGTTTAGCGTCCTGAGGACCCCCGATCAGAAAGCCAGCCTACAACTTCCTGGCTGGGTTAAACTAACTGTTGTAGGTTTCATTGACTGATGAAGCCATGTTTTGGTGTGATCACCGCTAGCTCTTTTCCAGCCTGACCCTATGTCAGCTAACATTGCTCGTCGAGTAAGGCGATGATTAGGCATACGTAACACACGTCTTAATAATCTCAGTCGATGTAGCTTCATAACACCGTCGATTGATTTCCCCTCCTTACCTAGCCTAACCTCAATATTGCTCACCCTATTATACTAGCTACTCGAATCTCATTTATAGGCACTTGGTCGTCGATACTGTATCTGCTTTATGTCGTCTAGGTACGAAGTATAGTCGTAAGATCGACAGGGTCCTGTGCCAACGCTCATCGTCATAAATGAATTATTAAATACAGTGAGAACATTCACCTATTTAGGTGGTGATGTGATCAGGAATTACAAACTTGCATAGGGAAAGCCAAGGTAGAACGTATGCCGACTGAGAACATCACGCTGTCAAGTTGATTTGGCCAACAAAGTTCACACCTAGGTGCATGCAATCTTGTTGTAAGCTTGTGATAATTGACCTCATGATCAGGAGGATGTGTGAAGTTTCCGTAGAATCACTTGTGTCTGTTAGCGCAACCGTATAAGTAACACTTCTAAGATTCGACTGCTAAAAGAACCACAGAAAATGACTCTCTTCCCTAATGATTAATCACACTAGCACCCAAAAAAACGTATTCCACGTTGTCAGTCTCTGCATACTCAATCTCAAACTCACAAAACTGCTTTAAAAGCTAGAATAATATGGTTTTGGTATTTGTGAAGACCAAAGTAATTCAGTCGTTAATGAATATACTACTACCCGACTGCTGAAACGAACTAAAATGGATAAGTTTCAATAAATCGGTGTTTATATATCGCCTAGATCTATGAGACAATCTTGAAGTTGGATCACCAATGTTGTTTATATTTATGCTGTACACTTACTGTATTGGAATAGTCTATTTTTCTTTACTTTGGGGTTTAACGTAGCAGTGGGGATGTTCCTTAAGTGGGAGGAGGGCATTGTTGTCCTTTGTCCACCCTTCCATCTTTTTCCGGAGATACGACCGACTACTAAACTATACAAGGTTGATTATTGACCTACAAGTAGTTTGTTGTTACTTCATTGCTGGTAATTAATTACAAAAGGTAGAATACTTACCAGCCAGGAAGGTGTGCCGAGTTCGAATCTCATCCGACGTACTCTTAAACCTCGCTTAGTAAGCCCAGTAAACGGAGAAAGCTAGGCATGGGGTTATGATCCTCATTCCGTAAAAACATCACCGCTACCGAAACTCTAAGCTTGAAGCCCTATTTTCCATTCAAAACGCAAAGGAATGAAAGCAAAGTTAAAGCTATACACATACCATTAGTACTAAGATGTCAAGTACACGTTTCCTGTCATCGACTTGACGATAGAAATTCAACGCTTTGAGTAATTCTGCCAAATGCATTTGAATGACTGTAAATAATAAAAAAATGATTAGAAAATAAAAATTTCCAATTTGATCAGGAGTTAGTGTCGGTTAGAGAACTACTGAAACTCAGGGAATACTGAACAGCTGCTTCGTCTAGTTTGGGACTCTTCATCAGTATGCACCCAATCAGGTCCGAATCCAGGACCTTCAGGTTAAGAGATGAGCTCGTTGCCATTCAACAACTGGGATAGAATCTGCTGGCCCATAAATTCTAACTTCTATCAATTCGCCATTTTTAGCGCCACCGCCAGCTAGTGTCATCGGCGCGATGGATCCCCCCACTGGTCATGACATCTCACTAGAACTCACTCCAGGCAACTTCCTCTCCTGTAGCCAGTCAATACTGGTAAGCATCAGATTACTTTTCAAGCGTTGGTTTGTGCAGATTTGATCACGGATTAGTATTCTCAGTGGGTTCGTGGATATGTGTGCCGATGAAGATTCCCGAACTAGGACGGAAGACTTCCCAGTACTCTCTGGTTTTCAAGGATCTTTAACCGATGTCAGCGCTTGTGACCAAATCAATAAAATCCCTATAAACTAACAATACTTAAAAAAATACCACTCATTACTTTGTTTTACTAATCTCAAAGCCGTTAGTTAAGTTTGTGTGAAGGTTGTCAAATAAGCGACATTTTAGTTGACGTCATATTATTACAAAAAATCGACTTCAAATCAATCCACTTCATGTTTGTTGACTAGCTAGGAGATGAAATTTGCGTTGGTGCAAGAATAGTCATTCATTGATGACATTAGGAGTGTTCGGGGTGGATGGTTGTGGAGGAATTTCACACTTGGTCAGAAGTCGTAAAATCGGTAGTTGTTAGATCTTGACCGAGTAAGTCGGAAAATAAACTTTAGGCTTTTTAAAGTTGTTCTGTCAAATTAATTCATTGAAAATTTAGAAAGGCTAGACACGTCTTTAACTCCTTACAAATAAAAGCTTGATATTCTATTGTGGTGAGAGCTGTAGCTGTTAGTCAAAATTGGTAGACAGTAATTTACGTCAATGTTTATGTTCCTAATATTGGTCGTGAGAAAAATGAGAACAAAGGCTTTGCGTAGGCGGATACAGTTGGTATATAGATGATCTGACATTCAAGAGACAGTCACAAAGAGATGAAAGATTAACTTTCAGTGAGAAACAACCAATCAGGGGACTGTGTTTATCTGCTAACAATAATCTATAATAGTGTACATGAAAATCTATAAATATGTGTTGATTTCTTTAATAAACGATCTGTTGCCTGACCCTTGTCTTCTGTTGTTACACTAGGACCAATGTGAAGCTAGCTGCTAGTCCCCAACCGGTAGCTGATACTTTGACGTCGTGATTGGGCTTGCACAAATGAGCTACATTGCCCAGAACTGGTGTTCCTGAAAGTCCTATCACATCAGAAATGTCGTCTGGATAGTGGTTAGACTGGGAGCAGTTACACCATTACAGTGTGAGTCATTTACACTACGTTAGTGAGTCTGTAGGCGAAGTCGTACTGTTGGTGAATAGCGATGTAACAGAAGTAGGGTGTTTTTCCCTCAAGTGACCAGCAAGCCACTTATGCTGCTTTTCCGTTATAGAAAGCGGGAAAGAGTGGGATCAGAAAAGGTCGCTCCCAAAATTTGTATATCCCAATTTACCTTGAGGCGGTAGATTTTATTTAATACGGGCACAATTCCAGAAGTCATTTCACACAAGTAGCGTGTGTCCGGCCTAAAGCAATTACCTTTGGGCTTTGTGGTCATGCAACACTACTGCTCTTTCTGTTTCAAGTGCCCTAAGAAGAAATCAACTAAAATGATTTGGGCAGCCGAGAGGTGATAACCCCCCCACACACTTCAACAAGTACACAGAGCTTTTCTAACAATTACTTATTTTCATCTGCTTGCTATCCTCCCATTGCTGATACCATTCCAAAGGTAAATCTCTCTCATCTTTCCTTAATTCTGCGACGACTGATAGCGATAAGTATCAGGAGCAAACTATTGACAGCCTCTTAGACCTATGCTGCCAACTTCATATTGGAGCAGTTAACATCAGAACCCTTGGCCAATTCGGATGATAGGCTTCACTAACCAGAACTCCGGCATTTCGAGCCACGGTTGTACTAAATGTTTCGGAGACACGCAAACGAGACCCAACTTGGCCAATAGGGTGAATATGCGACATTTACCTTAGCGATGTTAGGATATTCTTCAATTAACTCACGATGAATCGCAGGTGTAGCGACAGTATTCAGTATTTTTATTATTTCCTTGGGTTCTGAGTGGAACATAGGATTTCAATAGAACATCTCTTTTTCACCCTGGCTCCACAGCTGAGCGTAGACTCTCATCTACTCCTAACACAATCTTCTCCATGTTAACCTTGGACACACGCCCAACTCGTCGTTTCCCATTTAGATTCCACTCGAAGGCCTGGTAGGCGATGTCACTCAGCCGTCTCCTCACCGTGTGTTCTTCGGAAATAGGTTCTTGATTGGTTCTTTCCCAGAGTTTCTTGATGCTAATTGTTTCTGGCCATTTAATCTTCAGTATCAAGCGAAGACAGCTATCGAAAAAAGTTTGCAGACAGTTGGAAATTTTTTTCCTAACAAGGAGACCAAGGTGTTGGAAAAACCGTACTTTGTTGTTTATGCAAAATGCAGAAGATTTCCAAAATGATTTCAAGACGCTTAAGGTCTCTCTCACCTTTCCGACTCTGAGTGGCTATGACATCTTCATCCTCTCCACCGAGGTAAGTGAAGGAAGTAACCCCTTTCAAATTTATCCCGTTGGTGGTGATCGTTGCCTGTTGTTGATGTTTGGTTATTTTCATTACCTCCGTCTTTCCTATGTTCACCTGAAGTCCTGTCTTTGCTGCCAGCTTCTTCTGCAGCAGTTTGTTGGTTTTTGCCTGTAAGTTTTCGAGTTTGTGTGCGCGGAACCCACATCTCCTCACTCTCCACATTTTGCTGCATGATTCTGTCCACCACAATTACGAATATCATCGGAAATAGTAGGCAGTCTGTCTTGTCTTACTTCTGTATTCACTTCAAAGGCTTCGCTTAGTTCCCCACTGTACATCACTTAGCATGTCGCATAATAATATAGCGGTTGAATAAAGTTAATAAAGACTTGCTGCACTCCGTAGTGTTGTAGTGTAGAGTAGTTTCCAAATTACTTCGAGGTCAACGCTATTGTCTGTCGAAGGCCTTTTCAGTGTCGATGACATTGTGGGCTTAGGATGGAAACCCCCCTATATATAAATGATTACGTAACAATCTTATGGAAACAGACAAGCATATTTATCAAAAGCATTTAACGAGGGTTCATCACATTGTTGATGTTAGATGGTTAGAGGCAACCGGCCATAAGAAGCCTCACCTGACCTAGCTTTCGTGCTAGTTGGCAACTCACCAGTCAGTTAGCAAGGCCTATCTGCAACCTTGAAGGAACAACTCATATCCCTTCTGAGATTCCAACCCGCGTCACCCAGTGCCGTCTTCAGTCAGAGACGTTACAACTGAGCTATTCGTGATGGCTCGCGATTGACCTCCTGTAGGGCTATATTGGATATTTTCGGTTGGACACTAACTCTAATCTATCCCTAACCAGCCTTAAAATTTCCCTATTTGGGTTAACTTAACCCTAATGACCACTTGGCCCAAATGTAACCTTAATCTTTCACAAACTTAAGCTAAATTAAAGAGATATTGGAAGAGGTAAGAATTACATCATGTTCGCCACCGACTACGATTCTCAGTCATAACGGACAGCATCTCAAGCTCCTCAAGTGTGTGGGGGGGGGTTGTGATACATTATTATCAACAACAGATGCTAACCTAACGCAACTAATTACCTATCCCTCAAAAAGTGGTGAGAGCTGTCTGCTAACCGAAATTGTAGACAACAATTTACGTCTGTGTTTAAGTTCCGAATCAGGGTCATGAGAAAAACAATAACAAGCTTTATCTTAAGGAACTCATCAACCAATCACAGCAGACTTAAAGTGTGGACAAATACAATTCGCAGATATATGGCTTAACTTTCTAAGAAACGGTCACAAGCAGTACAGAATAACCTTTAGCAAGAAAACAACCAATCAGAAGACGTTGCTTCTCTGCCAACAATAACCCTAATAATAATGTACATGAAAATTTATAAATATCTGTTGATCTTCTCTAAGTAAACGATCTGTTGCCTGGCCCTTGTCTTCTGTCGTTATAATACTACGACGTCACTACATACATACATCACGGGGAGGTCATTTAGACCTTCCAGAGAGACAAACTATGGGAAAAAAGTGCAATACTGATACTCACATGATGATTGACTGTTTTCCTTATTATTATTATTACACCATCATTGTGTAAAAGTCGAACACGACTCATAAATACTTGACTACGAATTTTTGTCAATCGATCCGTACGATGTAATATCTCCTCTAAACTGGTATTCAATTCTAACATGACATTTGGTGTTGTTTTATGTAATTTCAATTTGTTTATTTGCTGCTGTTTGGTTGAAGTGAAGATTTTGTTGTAAGGACCACTGGTTTCTTCATTGTCTCCAGCAGAGGTGACAGAAGAAGTAGAAAGACTCACAGGTATTTCATTATGCGCTGACATGTGTGTAGCACACTGAAATAGCTTAATTATATCTAGGCCTAAGTCTAATTTATACTGTTTACACAATTTTATAGTTGCATCAATTTCACTCATTGCATAGCTGTACAGTTTCAATGTGATCAATAGTTCAATCTGAAAAATAAAATAAAAAATGAAAAACAGAAAGTGGAAAGATAAGAGAGATAAACGTATAAACACACACACACACAAAAACAAAACAGAAATGTTCGGGGCTTCTGGAAACATGTTGGCTTCTAGTACAGACGTTACTAAGATATCCGAGAACTAGTACTGATGCTGTTTGCATTGAAATCCAGGATGTCAGTTTCTTCCAACTGGGACTCGTCATCCGGATGTGTACTGGATTCGAGTTTTACGAGGAACATAGCTACTCACTGGCGATTGTAGGTGTACTGAGCCGATGAGTCCCCCGAAAGACGAAACGCGCATCATAGAATTCTCTGCTTGTTCCCACCAACCAAAGGAATAGATTCAGTTGAAATGAAACAAAACAAATGAGATATAAGATAATAGCAGCATATCAAGATTACTCAAAATATGCCTAAGTGTGGTGATGAAGAATTTAAAGAAATTAGCGATGGATGGGATGGGTAGCGTGCTTAAGATTTTTATGACTGTGAGATATGGCCACTGACAGTGGAAGCTATAGTGAAATAATCACTTCCTCGAACTGTGTAAATTGCAAATTTGATTTATGGTTTGAACTGATTCAGTTTTCTGATCTGAGTTAAACTGGATACACCGATGATGAGTTCAGCTGAAAAAACGATCGTCTGGTGTTTAGATCAGTTGGATCTAGCTGGCTAGCAAGTACTTGTCAATTTAAGTGGTATAAAACTACTCGTCTCAATCAATCAGTAGTAAGTGGTTTTTATGCATTCACTCTATCCAGGACCTATTGAGTTCTGCAGTCATCCATTGATCTGCAGAAGCCTTAAGGACAACATCTCGCATCTGTGTGCATATATCAGTTCAATTCACTTGTTGCTGTGGAGCCAGCCAGCCAGGTACATTGGTCGTTCGATGCGTATCCTGTCCAAAAGGGTTCAAGAACAACATTATCCTGCATGACTGCAAAAAGATAGTACTGGCACTAATAAGGAGTGAAATCATCGAAAACCTTGTCAACACGGGCCACATTCCATTACAACAAATTCATTCTCCTTCACAAAGTGATCTACACAGTCAAGAATAATCCACCATAGACAATACGCTTTCGTCTCCTTTGTATTGCTGAAGCCTCAGTCATTCACTTCTACTATCATGGCAGCAACCGTGTTGATTTCTAGTCACTTTAGGTTTGTGTGCTTGTCATTTTTCTATAATTATTATTTCCTTTAATTCCTAGTGAGACATAGGGCTTCAGCCGCGCCGCGTCCGGTTTTCTGCTAAAGTTTTCACCTGGCTCCAAGTCTGCCCACATGCTTTCATCTCCTCTTCACATGACCTCCTCCAAGTCACCCTTGAACTGACGACTAACTCGCTGTTTCCCATTCGGGTTCCAATCGAGCAATGGATTGTCTAGTGATGTCACTTGATGGTTTCCTCAGAGTATGGCTGATCCGCCTCCACTTCTTCCTGTTTATTTGTTTCACAATCGGTTCCTGGTTGGTTCGTTCATTGCCAGAGATCCCTGTTGCTGATCTTTTCTGGCCGGCTATCTGATCTTGAGCGAAGACAACTGTTCATGAAGGCCTGTAGTTTGTTTGAGGTGCTCTTTATGACGCTGCGCCAAGTCTCTGATCCATATAGTGAGTAGCACTGACTTCACATTGGAGTTGAAAATCCGGATCTTATTTTCATTTTCAAGCTGAGTGCTGGTGATGTCTACACAGACTTGAGAGTAATGAAAGCTTGTCTTGCTTTCCTGATCCTTGCTTTGATATCATCGTCAGTTATTTCTGCCTGTAGTTGAAACGATGCTTTTCAGGTAGGTGGATTAAGGAGGTTGCTTCTTTCAGATTTCTCCCATTTATGCTGATTGTTGTCTGTTGTTGTTGCTGTTGGCCAGGAATCTTCATCACCTCTGTTTTCTCGATGTTCACATGAAGCCCTTCCTATCTTTGATGCTTCTTCTATCGCCAGCTTGTTGCTTTTCACTTGCATATCTTCCAGTTTGTGGGAAATCAGACATATATCATCGGCGAAGTCCAGTTCCTCCAAGTTTTTTGGGTGAGTCCGTTTTATGCCTGTTTCCCCATTGCCCGTTAATTGTCTGTCGCATTATCCAATCTGCAATCAGGAAAATCATTGGCGATAGTAGACAGCTTTGCCTCACTCCCGTCTTTACTTCGAAGGCTTCCGTAAGTTTCCCGTTGTGGATTACTTGGCATGCAGCATTGTTGTATAACTATTGGATGAGATGTATAATTGCCGATGGCACCCCGTAGCAGCGAAGCAGTTGCCAAATCACCTCTCGATCGACGCTGTCGAATGCCTTCTTTATAACTTTTGTATTGCTTTACAACTCTTACGGAATTCCACGTTTTCCTGAGTTTCTATTACATCCTAATCAAATCTCACTCAATCTTGTTATGCATTTACAATACACTTACGTATTCAAATTCTCTTTTTCATTGACGAACACTGACAACTATTTTTGAGTAGCTTAATACTCCCATTGAGTCGTAGAGAAAAAGAGAAGACGTTCAACGAAGAAACTCTTTTCGGTGGCGAATTCATTCACATTGCTGTAGTACAGTCGCATTTATGTATAATTACTTGTGTGTGTGTACATGAGGTTTGTCAGGTTTAGATAATTAATTAAGTAATACAAGAATGATTTAATATAGAAACAAGGTTTATTAGACAGCAACTAAAGTAAGATTGAGTTAGTAAGTTAGATGACGTAAAAGAATTGACTAAAATGTTTCAACTTAGTTCAGGATAGCAACAGAAGTAATTACAGGTAGAGACTAAGTAGAGGTGAGGTATTTTTGACACCTCATCACACCACTATCCTCATATTAATCGCATGGCTACAATAAAGGTTATAGTGACTGTATAAGGAGGGCGATAATCGAACATCTCGTCAACACTGGTCATCATTCCATCTCAACAAACGCCTCCCCACCTTCAAAGTGAGGTATAACCACTTGCCAAAGGTAATACGCTTTCGTATCCTTTGTAATGCTGAAGCGTTAACCATTCAGTTGGAAGAAAGAGTTATGCATACAAAAGGAAATCATCCAGCCACTTCTACTATCATGGTAACAATCATGTAGACTTCTGTTAACTTGATGTTTATGTGATTGACTTTTATCTAACTCCTTATAACATTTCTAATTTTTGGAACTCTTACAAAATTTCACATTTTCCTTCGTTTATAAGTGCATCCTATTTACAACTCGCTCATTAAAACTATTCATCTTGCTATGTAACTGCATTGCGCTTATTCAACTCCGTTTATGTGTTAACAACTACGCTTCGTAACAACGCCTCAACATTACGCTCTTATCAATCGTACCCCCGCCCTAGTTACAGTTTGATTAGTGATCACATTTTTGAAATATCTTGACAACAATAACCTTAACTTATTTTTATTCTTATCGGAAATACCTAATGTACACACACACGCACAAGCAAAAGTATACATAATTGCGTATTCGTTTGTAGGGATCTGATTGGCTGATGACAAGGTAGGGTAGAACAGGTCGGGTGTGGGGACAAATACTAGCCAGCAATGATACTGATCAGTGCCAGTCACGCTATGTCGTGAGTTGGCAGTAGTTGGAATTCATGGGCTGGCCATTAGACTGGAGGGGGTCCCAGCGGTTTAATGGCCTACGAGCTAGCTCACCTTGTAACCCGAGGGACCTCGGTTCGAACCCCGGTGAATGCACATCACCAAAAAAAGTCCTAAGCCAGTGGGACGAAACAGCCGTCCAGTGTACTCCCCAACTGGTTTCCCAATGGTCACCTAACCAATGTCAGCTGATGTTGAAATCTTGTAACCAATATACGATTGCGATTGTGTACAGCTAACTTTATAGACTTTGTGAAGGCCTTCGACAGCGTTGACCGCGAAGTAATTTGAAAAGTACTCGAGTACTACGGCGTAGCCCAAATATTCATCAACCTTATTCAGCAGCTGTACGACAACGGCACATGTCAAGTGATCCACAACGGAAAACTCAGCGAGGCGTTTGGAGTAAACACAAGAGTCAGACAAGGGTGCTTATTGTCACCAATGAATGATTGTGTGCGTCGGTGGCACAGTAATTAGGACTCTCGCCGACCATGCACATGGTCCGGGGTTCGAGACCTCGCCGACGCACACCTGATATCTATGGTCGGCCTGCGAATTTTGAGCTACCGATATCCACGCTGAAAATTCCATACTTGTACCAAAAATACGGTGTGGAATCAAGCTGTAATCAAAAATAAAAAAAAAAAATATTCCTAATTGTGATGGACTGGATTATGCGTCAGACAGTGAGTGGGAAACGAGAAGACAGGAATATCCTGGACCGACTGACGTGAAGAACCTAGAAGACCTGGATTTCACGCGTGGATGATCTATGCTTGATGTCACACAAAATCGAAGACTTACAAGTGAAAACCGACAAACTGATCGAAGAAGCAGCCGGCGAAGACAGGACTCTAGGTGAACATAGACAAGACGGAGGTCATGAAAATAATCAACCAACAACAACAACAGCAACAACATCCAACGTCAATCACCATCAACGGGAGGGATTTCAAAAAGGTTACTTCATTCACTTCACTTATCTAGGGAGCATTGTCTCAACTACAGGCGATCAGAACGGACGAGAATGTCAAATCAAGCGAGAATCGGGAAGGCGAGAAACACATTCATCAACCTGAAACCAATCTGGAAATCTTCGTCACTCAGTCAGAATCAACAACAAAATTCAGTCGGATTTACAATACAAACACGTCATGTCAGTTCTTCTATACGGATCAGAAACTTGGCGCTTGGCGGGTCACAAAGAATATTTCCAGCAGCCTGTTGCATGCAGACCTTTATTAACAACTGTCTTCGCTCTATACTCAATGAAGATCAGATGGCCGGGCCGGAAAGAATCATCAACAAGAAACTATAGGAAGAAACAAACAAAACAAGAACCAATCGCCCAACAAATATGCAAGAGAATGTGGAGATGGATTGGACACTCGCTCGCTGAGGAGGCCGCTGGGTGACATCACGCGCGTCAGGCAATTTCTCGAGTGGAACCATGCCGAAAGGGAAGCGGCCAGTTGGTCGTCAGTGCAAGGATGACATGGAGGAGATCGTGTGAAGAGGAGTTGAAACAGTATGGACTAACACGGATGCAAATGAAAAGTACAGGAGAAGACAGAAGGAAGTGGAGACGTACAGTTGATGCCGTATGTTCCACTAGGAACCCATGGGAACAATAACAATAATAATAGCTATGTGCATGAATTCACCGCCGAAAAAGAGACTTTTCTCTGAACTGCATACATGTTTTGTCTTCATTAACACCTAAAACAAATAGAAAAGGAAGTACACATCATTGAAGACTAATCAATCACTTACTCCACCCACTCACTTACCAGGGATAAATGTGCACGTAATTCAATATTGATTAATTTACACAAACCACCAACAGGTGTATGCTCAGGAAATGTTGGTAAAGTTAAATGTTTAAATGGTGTTCTATGAGTGGATAAATCTATTGAATATAATAACTTTCCAGCGGTGTTGTCAGTAGTATTAGTTGTAGTCAATTGTTGTTTCAACATACCACCATCATATTGGCGTCTTTCAACTATACTGTCAATTATATGACGTAATATATCATGTGTATATGAGACATTATCACGTTTCTGTTCAACTTCAGCTTGCCTTATAAAAAGAAGAAAAAACCAAAAAGAAAAGCCGAAGGTTAAGTATAAGTCAACACACTCAGAGAATAGATACGATATGCGTAGAACTTGGACACTGTGGTAGCAGTGATGTTTATTTATTTTTACGGTATTGGATTGTTGATGTCATGCCCAACCTTTTCTCTTTGCCAGTCTTATCACTGCCTTAGCGAAGGTAAAGCAGTGCATCAGTGGCCGGGGATCGAACCCATGAACCACATGAGGCGTGGTTGGCGAGCAATCTATCGCTGTGCCACCGACACCTGCCGTTGTATGTATGTAATTCCATATCATTATTATTACTCATTGGATATATCACACAGGAGAGAAAAGCATTATTCACTCGAATGACAAAGTTTCAAAATCTTTAAATATTTCCATTATTATTATTATTATTAGAACAAGACAATATAACCGAACAATACTATTGTTTTCAATTAGATCTTCAGGCTTTACTCTAATTTACATCGATTTATAAATAAGACAAAAGTTAACCAATGACGGTGATTTTGTGGGTCGAATAATAATAATAAAGATAATGTGGTAAATGTTTTGAACGTCATTAGTAACGATGATTGTAATGATAGCAAAATAATGACAATAGGGTTTATGCAGGTGGCGATATAAGAATAACGAAGGTAGAGAGTAATATGTGTATATGTAGACAATTCAATAAATAAATAAATAAATAAATAAATTAGGTCAAACCTTAAAAGCTACGTAATACTAAAGGTGAAGTGGACAGATAATCAGAGTATAAATAAATACCATAACATTACGAAAGACATGTTAAATACGAAGGGGTGGCAGGGTCTTAGTAAGAATGTACCTAGGCCAAGGGAGAGACAAAGGTAGAAAAAACTTCTTTTCTTGTGTGCAAAGACTGGGATTACTCTGTCGAATTAATTCCCATAGCTTCGGCTATGTGTTTAGTAGGCGGGTTCAAATTCCGTTTGAAAGGCTCGACGCAATGCGATAGATAACTTTGAAGGCACTATTTCTGTCCATTTGGTGACCGCTATCAGCAATCAAATGAGTTCAAATAGAACTTCTTATAGATTTTATTTGGCCTTTTCCGAACCATGAAGGAAGATGCTTGCTGTGGTGTCTAGCTGTTCGCCCTATATAGCTAGCTTTCTCCACATGAGCAGGTAAATTTATAGATACATATGGAAGTGGCACAGCTAGGTAGCTTGTTTTTCGCTTGAGCAATCGTGATTGGTCACCTGGAAAATGACAAAGGGTGGTGGCGGCAGTATAAGTCCGTTTTATTGCTCTCGATAGTGTTACATTTAAGATTATCGAGAGCAATAAAACGGACTTATACTGCCACCACCAATCTTTGTCATTTTCCACTGCTGACTGATTTCAGATTAAAGAACGTCTGTATGTCTTGTCTTTTCGGTCCTGGCTAGCTGGCTTTGGTATCCCCATCCGTGCTGCCTGTAGCTGAGGCGATTCTGACTAGATAAGCGAATGATACATATCGACCTAATTTTCTACAAGTTTGTTTTGTATTTCTCTCACCACACTTATTGATTTATAACCTGACTTTCCCTCACTCTACTTATGACCTTTGAAATCCTATTGGTTGTTCACTGTCTTGATTTGTCAATGACGTTAGTGATTCTCAAGATCGCTTTAGCAATATATGTACGCAAGCGCTGTCAACCTTTTTTGATTGTTGTTTTGAGACAGTAAAAGCTCTTTTAGCAACGTCCAATCTTCTCTTCTGTTTTTGCGTGCGGACCATGTTATTGTCAATGACGTGTGATTAGGACAGATCAACGAGCGCATTAAGTTAGTATTCGCTCGTAGTTCCGTTCATGACGTTGGCTTCCTTCAAATCCCCCATCTTATTGCTGATTGATCTCTGTCTCCTCCTCCCGTCTTCGCTGCCTCTTTTGCTGATTTATAGACTTTCGGTCTTCAAGTTTGTGTGACTATACACATCGATCACGCACGAAGTTCAAATCTTCTGCAGTCTTCTTGTAAATCCCAATGCTTTCCTGTCTTCTCACTATCTACGACCTGTCGTTTGATCCGGTTCACTACAATCACGAATATCGTCGGTGATAGTAGGCAGCCTTGTTTTGCTCTTGTCTTCCTTTGTGAATCCCTTGGCATGTAGCTGTTGAATGAGATCGATAAAAGACTGGGGCACTCCATAGTGTTGAAGCAATTCCCAAATTGCTTCACGTCTTTCATAGATCAATTGAATCACGTGAGGTGACCTTAATAACCCGAAAGGTCTTATTCAAATGCTGGTTTGTGGGTATTTGATTTGATTGGTTACAGGATCTCATCATGAGCTGACATTTAATGCTCACTAGCGACTGACTCTATTCAGGTAGATAATTACCTGAGTTCTAGTGGGAATTCGTGACCACTTGATTGCAGCAGGTAGGGTGTGAGGAGAAATACTTGCCAGTGATGACATTAGCGAGTGTTCGTGGTGTGTCATGAATAGACGGGAGTCAGAATTCATGGGCTGGTTCATTGGATCACCCACTTCGTAAATGGAGGGTCCTGGGTTCGAACTGTGGTGGTGGGTGTGTACTATTGAGGAGTCGCAAACTATTGGGACGAAACATCTTTCCAGTACTCCCCGGCTGGTTACCCCATGGTTCTCTAACCTATATCAGTTGAGGATGAAATCCTGGAACCAAAACGTCGTGTTTCAATTCTCTATAGCTTCGCGGTATGACTACGCGCTCATCTTGTTGACAGACAAACCAATAATACGCTTGAGAACATCCTAACTATGGTTTAGGTGGTGGTATGAAATTTTTCCGAGCTAGTCGTCACTGAAGGAATCGAGTGAGGGATCGAATATAGTCAAAAATGACTATTATTATTATTATAGATAGGGTCGAAGTCCTGCTGTTGATATCATAGTGAGATTACCTTGCTTCATTTATTTTAATACTCAAGTCATTATTATCACTACAAGTCAATAACAATTTTAACCTTATCAAATTTCTAACCTTTTCTTCCTTCGTGCCGTTGAGCATTACGTAATTTATAACTTTTATTCATACGTTTGAAGCCACTTCTAAGTAATTATATCAATTATACCAGCCCCCCCCCACCCCCGATTACTCAATAATGGACTACTATACATCTTTGGTAAATATAAATACGACTGTACAGTCTCTGAAGATAATTTCGTTACTTCATGAAATCAACTGGATTTCACTAAACCCAACCAACACAAAACTCATAATAATAATAATAACAATAATTAATATTATTATAAACTTACCGTAGAGCAGCTTCCCATGGACAATACAGTCTTAATGAATTGACTAACCGATCACATTGAGCTAAATCATAACCCGATCTTAAATTCTGTTCCAATTCCACTTCGATACAAGCTTGTAATAAAGGTGATTGACCAGGGAAACGACATAGTGCAGATCGACATAGTTTAGACAATTTCAAGGCTGTTTCAATTAATCCCTTTTTAAGTAAAAATAGACAAGACACAGTATGTATATTGTATAATGTACATATATTAATTACAGAGGAAAATACTAGAGTCTATTAAATACAAAATGTCACATCATTTCAAAGTGTACTGGGATGGCAAGTCACTTTTTTAACTGGCTGATAACCCCCCCCCCCACTCTTGTGAGGAGTACCAAAATGAAGGACTAGACATATGATACTGGTAACTCCTAAGTGATCCACTAAAATTATTTAACAATCAAATTAATTACAAACGCTGAATGTTTAGAATACATGACAAAAGGAATTGGTAAAATATTGATTAAGGAGAATTCTGTTAGCTAACATAGCAAGACAAGGAAGGGGGGGAGGAGATTCTTACACAAGTAAAAGAGCGAACACAGAGGCATTACACAATTGAAGAGGAGAATACGCTGAGCTTTAGGATCTGAAAAGGACAACTAACGCATAGACTTTTGTGGGTCACCGGAGACTGTGACAACGAATCTACTGATGCTGCTCTGCTGCTTTATAGATCAGAATACTCACACCAAGATATTGTGAAGGGGGATAGTCTGACTGACTGGTTTCAACACAGAAACATTGCACAGATGTGTAGAAGATCGAGCTCCCACAATCCATCTACCACACAGAGCAACAGAAAACGGTAAAGAGAGGCTCAAAAGAGAGAGAGAGATAATAAACAGAAGCGTCAGGGAAAAAGAATAGTAATATGGAATAATAACAGTGCTTTATCGGAAATGAGAAATCACAAAGCGTGAAAGCATCTGCGCCATCACCGAGAAGATTTTTAGCTATATTACCAATTGCCTCTCTGCAGCCATTGAGTTTTACCAACCCCAGGACTCCAACCAAGAAGTCTACACCTCCCTACGTGGTTGGCTTAAACTAACTGTTGAGGATTTCATTGACTAATGAAGCGATGCTTTGGTTTGACCATCACAAGCTCTCTCATTTTCGACTTGATCAATCTTATGTCACCTAACATTGCCCGTCAAGGAAGGACATATGCGTAACACGTATGTTTGCCATCTCACCCGATGCAACTTCACGATCCTATGATCAAAGAGAGCTAGCCGGCCTTATCATGTCTTCCACTTTCAATGGCCATGTTTCAGTCACATCCATAAAGGAGGAAAGAGAGAACTGCTGAACAGTACACACCCCATTTGGTCGACAACCAGCTGAATATCACGTCTACTAAGCCAGAGATGGTGTCAGTTGACAGGGAAATTCCAAACGAGCCTTCTGTATGGGTGCTGAGATTTCGTGAAGTTACAAAGACTGAGATGGTTAGGACATGTGTTACGTATGCCAAGCCATCACCTCCCTTGACGAGCAATGTTAGCGGATATAGGGTCAGGCTGGAAAAAAGCTAGCGGCGGTCAAACAAAAACTTGGCTGCACCAGTCAATGAAATCCACAACAGTTGGTCTAAGCCACGTAGGAAGGTGTAGACTTCCCAACTGGTTGGCGTCCTCGGGACGGTAAAAATCTATGGTTGGAAACAATTGGTGACATGGCTCAAAATCGTTCTCAGTGGCGCAGATGCATCCACTCCTTGTGACTTATGATCTCTAATGAAACTGTTTTGTTTTTCCTTATTACTCCTTTGTCTCACATCTCTGCTCACTGTCTCTATTATGCTTTTTTGTACTTTCTTCTCTTGCTTCGCGTGCTACACGGAGTGTGGCGACTTGAACTTCCACACATTTGTGCAAAGTTCTATGTCGAAAACAGACAGACAGACAGCTGAGATTTCGTCAGCGATCAACTCGCCGGAAATAATTCAGCTTCCAGAATAAGTCCAGTGGTCAACACGCTCCACAAAACACTCCACTCCTGCCTATCTTCAAGCTAGGTGTGAGTCAATATAGTCCAATTCTGTAGCATCATCTTACATTTGACAAAAGAGGGTGAATCGTATGCCAAACAGCCAGGACTATCCAGTAATATTTCAACCGTCAAAAGAAACACAGGAAAGTAATGCTGTTTTATTATTTTGTGCACCACATTACCTGGGGTCAGTATATAAACAAACAAAAGACGCAACACCCCCCCCCCACCCAAAAAGGGGCATCACCAGGTTAATTGATTCGAGAAATTAAAACATTGAGACATAAACAAACTAACTAACTAACTTACCACAGAATTAAACTCTTTAATAATATTTGCAAAAGCAGTCACCAAAACATTATCAGAATTAGGACAAGGTTCTAGACAATCCGCATTGACAATACACTGCATTAATACAGTAGCCATATTTCTATATAAAATCAATAAATTTCAACGCTAGCTATACAAAAGCTCAAACCCACGCTTTGTATACAAAAGAAATACGTCCAACCCCTGTCCTTGCCATGGCCATCATAAACAGGTAATTTTTAGTAATCACCATCCCATCGCCTTTCTTATCTAAACTTCCTGTTTATTCATGTTATTTCAAGTTTTTCTTACACTACCATATTTTCATACCCGAACTTAGTGTTTATTTTGTCATTTTACTATTTCTACATATTTAATCCCTGATTGCATAAACAATTATTCATCACATTAGTTTTTATCCAGACATCCTGTCTATTTTGTTATTTCTACATTTCTAACCCCTAATTGCACAATGTCAGTCTTCTTAGTTATTATAATGCTACTTTGTTTGTTTTATCCATCCCCTGTTTATTATGGCATTCCAATTCCCAATTTTAATTTTAATTAATTATTATATTTGTTAAACTAAAAAGGGTAATAATATGAAGAGAAGAAGAAGACAAGTATTGCATGACAGTAGAAATGACTAATATAAATGGTTAATAATATTAACTACCCTCATAAACGATCTGGTTCGGCTAAGGTTATAGATGTAGAGACGACTTTAGTCTTTCCTTCGAAATGCCCTCATTACATGACAAAGTGTTCATAACTTCCGTCGGGTAAATCTTGATCACTGCCTTCATACGACAGGAACGACAGAATGACAACGTTTGGCGCTTACAAACACAAGAGTGATGGATAGGTAGCCTCCAAAGCTTCAGGATGGTCGGGGGTGGGTGTCTTGCGCTGCGGGTTGGCCACCCCTCCGCACACCTCTTGAAATGCTCCCATGTGACCGGGCGTTTTACATAGCCTCTCCTGAGGAAGTCCTACTCACTGCCTTCACGTGGCGGAGGTGTTTCTCACCAAAGTGAGAGGGCAAAAACGGATGCCCGGCGCTCTTCACCGGGTTGACTGTCCATTGGATGACAGTCTAGGGGAGATGGCTAAACCCTGATTCCAAACCTCCAACAACTGGCGTATGAAGCTTACAGGAGCTCACCGGCAGACGTATGGACAAAGGGCTTATTGGATGCCCTGGATGACTGGCCCCATTCAAAAAGGCGTATGAACCGGACTCCGGTCACCGGCTGCCAATGGATAGTGGACTCCCTACTCCACTCCTACTGCCTTGTAGGTCACACTTGGTTGTGTAAAGGCTAGAGCTGCACTCTCAAACGAAGGCCGAGCGATCCTGGGGACATCACTCGTACCCAATTACCATGAAACTTCATGGTTCATGAAGCCGGCTCATCCTCCCGTAGGAGATAGCCGAAGTAAAGAAGAAGAAAGGTAGATAGGTCTTTCTAAGGAAGATGGAAAACACTGATTCCAAACCTAAGGTGTATATACCGGCTTGAGAAGCATCAAACGACGTACAAAGCTGTTTCATTCATCAGCAACCATAACACCATGTCTCCTGATGCTAATTCCACTACCTTGTGGATCAGAATTCAAGTGAAAGGCTCGGGTGTAGCCCGTTAAGACAACTACCTGCTTCGGTCTGGGCATCCGGGCAGTACTGCAGCCCCTACACAAACTATGGGATTTTGGGTAGGGCATCTCTTGGCGCCAACAATGAATATATGCCTGCAGTCTGTCCGTCGTTCAATGGTAGAATAATTGGGAGGTCCTGAGCCAATACCCGACCAACACACTCCTACACGTCGACTAGTTTGCTAGCGGACAGTAGACCCAGGGAATAAGGAAGCTTGGACATGGTGCTAGGAACTCCATCAAGGAAAACACAACATCATTGCTAGTGGAACTTCGAAACTTGAAGCCCAATCGGAACGCAACGGTGGGGGGTGGGTTGAAATATATGACTGTAATTCAACCACTGGGTTAAGAGTTTGAATCTCAGTCCAGTCTACCTACCGAGGTTTGGGCAGTCATGTAATTATATATATATATATATATATATAATGACTGAATAACTCAATAAGAACAACACTTGCAGAATGTGAGATGAATTCATTTCATTATTTCATACAATTCTTAACAGTCAGCAACTACATACAACCTGCGTAATAAATTATATAAGCAATCAATATGTGACACACTTTAAGTGAATAGTTATTTCATATTATAAGAGCCACACTCCAATCTATATAGTACATGAAGCAGAAAATAGAGTACTGACGAACGATAATCAAGTATTTCACAATCTACACTTAGTTTTGTCATCTTTACCAATTGACCAACTTGACAACCATAAATGGCCCCATACTGACGAACGATGATCAAGTTAGTGAACTTTATTTTGATATAATAACAGATATACTATTACCTTTGATATTTGGTTTGAGTGATTTTCATTGTTATTTTGACTTTCAATATGTCCTTTTAAGTTGAACTAAGTCTATTTTTCTCACCCTTAACTCTTTGTTATATATATGCTGCGTGGATTTTGTAAATTCCGGTTTAATAATACTTTGAGAAAGCTATTAGTATTAAATAGCGAAACGTCAGTAAAAACAATATCATTTTGTTTTTCATTCATTGGGAAATACAAAAAAACCTTCATTATAATAAATATCACATATCCAATGCAAACCGTTAAAAGTGAACTTGGTTTGGACATATATAGGGTAAGGAGAGATTCAACAGAGATATAAGAGACAGGAATGTGAGGCAAAAAGAAGAGATATGGAATAGAACTTTATTGGATTTCTGCCATCCTGATGACTCCAATCAGTCAGCCAGACAGTCTACACCTCCCTACGTGACTGGCTGGCTGGCTTAAACTAACTTTTATGGATTTCATTGACTGATGAAGCCATGTTTAGCTTGACAAACACTAGCTTCCTCTTCTCCAAACTGCTCAATACTATGTCAGCTAACATTGGTTGTTGTCGAGGAAGGCAATGGATAGCTAGGCATATGTAACACACGTCTTAACCGTCTCAATCAATGCGGATGCTTCACAATCTCATCGATTGATTTTCCCCTCCCCCAACTACCTAGCATTGCACCGATGCCTAACCTCAATATTGCTCACCTTGTTATACGATTTATAACATGGGAGATAGAACCCAGGCGCCTATATGATCAATGACAGTTAACCTTTTCGCATCCTTCACTTTCAATGGCTACATCTTACTTACAGCCATAAAGAAGGACACAGCAAAGTGGTGAGCAGTGCACATGTCCTTGGACCGACAGGTAGCCGGCCGGATATCACGTCTACTACGCTAGAGATGGCGTAAGTTAGCACGCATATGCCAAATGAGCCTTCTGTATCCGTGCTGAGTTTTCGCTAGAGATCAACCCGTTGGGGCTCATGCAACTCAATTACAGTCTATATGATATCAAATACTGATTGCTTATGTAGTTCATTAATCAGGTTGTACACAACTGAGGTCAAACCACCTTATGATATAATTAACTGAATTCATTTTATCATGCAAAAACTGCTTGTATTACAGCTTTTTGAGATCTATGAGGAAAACTAGTGGTAAAATAAACTGTTGTCAGTACTCGGTTATCCGAAACAGATTATTTCATGTACCGCTCTTAGCACCGCAAACTGATTGTGTATACTCAAATGATGCTATCAGGTTCCCCTTTTTATTGAAGTAGGTGGAGTAGAGAATTAAAACCCGTGAACAATTTTAATTGAAAGTTAAGTACTTAAGCCAATGACCCATAGATGCACTAGTGAACGGCGAGTGTTATTCATCATATACACAAAGTATTAATACATCATAAGTCACTAACATCAGGGAGCATTCCTCCACACGCATGTGGGTTGGTGGATTCCATTAGTCACAAATTCTTACAAGAACATCGATTGAGGTGGTTAGAACATGTGTTCCGCATGTCTAGTCATCCCCTTCCTCGACAACAACCAATGTTAGTTGATATAGGGTCAGGTTGCAAAAAAGAATCTAGTGGAGGTCAATGGCTTCATCAGTCAATGAAATCACAACAGTTAGTTTAAGCCAACCACGTAAGAAGCTGTAAACTTCCTGACTTGTTTGGGTCCTGAGGACGGTAAACACAAATGGCTGGAGACAATCGGTAATATGGTTCAAAGTGATCATTTTCAATGGCAGGCGCAGATGCATTCACTCCTTGTCACTTATAATACCCAGTAAAACTATATGGTTCTTCGATATTTCTGATCTTTTCGCCTCATATCTCTCTTTACTGTCTCTATTTTACATTTGCTTTTACTTACTTCTCTTGCTTTGTGTGCTAAGTGAATTGTGGCGACTCGAACTGCTACACATCGGTGCAAAGTTCTATGTTGAAACCAGTCCGTCTGACAAGAACTCCAGACAACTCCACTGTGTAGTCAATCACTGAAGGACATTAGATTAACTTTGAAGTGTTAGTTTACAGGGTCTTTGTGGTCTAACTCGGATCAATCGAACTGCCCCTACCTCCCCCAGCCGAACTAAGACTTATTCATCTGTACTACTTATCTAATAATGATAACAATGCAATGATAAACACAAAGAACACAATGGCTAGAAATGTATTCATATGCTATGAGCAGAGAGAACGATTATCTGAGTAAATCATAAGTTTAAAGGTGAACAACTGTAAAAAGAAAAGGGAATACTTCACTTACGGATAACCATAGAAGTGCCACATTGTTGCTAAATCTAACAAGCACAAAGCAAAATAAGCTTGAGATATTGCACTTGGTGAATTGAAGTAGGTAATCAGTTGTCTAAAATGATGAATAAAGAAGAAAAAAACAATGAATAAGACGGAACGATATATACTACTGATAAATAGATGCATATATAAGTAGTATTTCAGAGAAGACATGCATTCATTATTTTAAAATCAGTGTAGAAATATCCTACTGCAGTTATGCAGAACAAGAAACAACACAACCGAATTCTATTTAATACTATAGTGTCGAGTCAGTTAGCGCTCCTATATGGTTCAGAGACATGCATAGACGGACTACTGTAGACTTTCATCTATATCTGCTCACTCCGCTCAATACTGAAGATTAGATAGTCGACTGGAAGGAATAAGCAACAAGGAACGCTGATAACAAAAGGAAAGTAAGTGGGGCGGGAATTTGGATGACGTTATGCACCATGACCTACAGTAGGACCTAGATGATTTAGGCATTGGCCTAGGGGTGACACACATGTACGACGTCGTATGAGGAGGCAATGAAAAGTTGTTGGGAATAGTGGAACCAGATACAAAAAGATACGATACAGGAAAAGGAGAAGTGGCGATGCGTTACAGAAGTCGTATATTTCACTAGGAACACAAAGGAAGAAAAATGAGCTAAATCCATTTTATTGAACTCACACCACCACCCACTTCATTCACAACTCTCCCCTTGTATCTATCTCATCAGCCACAACCAGAAGCCTATATAGAAAACTATATGCTCGCACTAGCAAGTGTAAAAACTCAACCGTGCCCTAGCTACTTGGCTCGTGTTCTGTGCGATAAAGAAAGCATTAGGCGTGATACCTATAACTTATAAAATAGTCAGTAGAACAACTGGATCTCGTCTCATATCATTTATAGGTACAACGTTTTCTTTCTTTCTTTCTTCCTTTTCTTTTTTTGTTGTTGTTATGTGCTGTTTTGTTACTCTCTTCCTTACATAATCTACTTAAAACATTCTTCTTCGTTCTTTCACACTCTGTATATCTCGACCTTTTTGTTACCGATTACGCCAGTAAATATGCTAGTATCTACTTTTCTAACACCTTCCGACAAACATTCTGTTCAACTTTAGCTTTGCTACCGAAATGCTCATATGTTGTTGCCAAAACTAACTGAGACTATCCATAATCTATATAGAATTTTATTTATGGTTAATGTAAACTGGATGCAATATACTGTAGTGAAATGCTGAGAATTCCATTCTGTATCGTAAGTATTGTTTTGCAATAAAGCAAATTATTATTATTATTATTAATGCATCGAGCGACGTCCTCAGAGAATTACAATTCATATACATATCAAGAGAAAAGCCATTGAAGACTAAACGACAGAACACGGTTACAACCCTGGGAAAATCTAATAGGCTAAACACAATGAAGAATAAAACATTTTCAATGCAGAATGGATCAGATTTTTGGCTTATTATTATTATTACTATTCCCTTAGGTTCCAAGTGGAATATACGGCTTCAATAACACATCTCCAGTTTCTTCTGTTTCCTGCTGTCCTTTTCACATAGGTTGACGATTACCCATAATCTCTCATAGCAAGGGATGCATGAGTAGCACATGTCCTAACTATCTCACTCAATCGATGTATCTGTCTCACAACCTCGTCGACTGATTCTCACCTCCCACCTACCTAGCACTCGACCGAAGTCTAACTTCAATATTGCGCACCTTATTATACCACTTCACACGGGAGATAGAACGCAGGCACCTATGATAAAAGATAGCTAATCTTTTCATGTCTTCCACTCTCAATGGCCAGGTCTCACAGTCATAAAGGAGGACGGAACGAACTGCTGAGCAGTACATACGCAACAAAGTTTCCCAAGAGATACAATGTGAATAGCATTCGAAGAGATTTCAAATAAGTTGATGTTTGCCGGCAATGAGCCGTATATACTATGTCAGCGATAGTGGTACTACCCGTCTGTCCAAACCTCGGTAGTTGGAGGGGAGTTCGAACTTGTCATCAGTCTAGTGGTCAGAAGTTGAGCGCCAAGACAAGTCAGCCACAGCTCCACAAAGATACTGTCTAGGTGGACATTGAAGGTTTCACTAATAAACCATCCAGCACAGAGAAACATAACCATCACATTCAAAATCACGTGAACATTAGTCAACTAGAAGATAAATAAGGAGGTTAAAATAAGACTACGCGAAAATGCCAAAGGTCTTGGACATCCTTCATGTGCATGCTGTTTATGTATTAATAATAATAATAATAATAATAAAGACCAGGGAGTACTAGACAAATGTTTCATTCTAGTTCGGGAATCATCAGCAGTGTACGCACCCACCACAGGGGGTTCGAACCCAGCATCTTCCAGTTAAAAGGCAAGCTGGCTCGTATACCATTTAGCCACTGGGACCCGATTCAATCAATGGCCAGTCCATGAATTCTAACTTCTACCAATTCATGATTTTAGCGCAACTGGCACCAACCAATGTCATGGGTGGGAAATCCATCCTCACACGTGACACCTGGATGGAACTCACTGGTCACGACTTTTCACTACGACTCCAGGAAACTCTGTCAGTGGCAAGTCAGTAGCGTGAGAATCAGTTTAATTTTCAATAGTTGGTTTGTAAGGATTCGATTTGTTTTTTCAAGTTTGACTACGGATTCATATCAGTTAGAGAACCATCGAAAACCAGCACTGGAGTACTGGACAGTTGTTTCATTCCAGTTTTGGAATCATCAGCAGCACGCACCCACACCGGTGAAGAAGTTAGAATTCATAGGCTGGCAACTGAATCAGATCCCAGTGGGTGAATGGTATACGAGCTTGCCTTGTAACCGGAAGTTCCTGAGTCCAAACCCTAGAGGTGAGTGCATACACTTCCGATGATTCCAAAACTAGGATGAAACAGCTGGTAGTCCAGTACTCACTCCACACTGGCTGGCTTTCAATGGTTCTCTAACTGATATCAATCCGTGGTCAAACTGGAAAAAAACAAACCTAATCTTTACAAATCAAATCTTGAACAAAATAATAATAATAATAATCGTAATCCCAAAAATAAAACTTACTCATATGGTTCAGCGCCTGAGTCTAATGCACTCCAAAATTTTGTACGAAATTCTGTTAGTGAAACATCCTAACACAAAGATAAAATAAACAAAAAAGTGATCAATAAATTATGATAGGGAGGAAAAAAAGGTTTTCTTTCTGGAAAAATCATTTTTCGACAGGTGGGGGATGACTACTAAGCAGTAGAATCCAGGATGTTCACTTTATTAGCTCTATGTACTAGCAGTCACCAGCGAGTGACAGTATTCTTTTTTTATTGAGACTCCAAAACCCGGCATTTTGAAGCGTCAAACTACTATCCCCAGTAGGCCACTTGGATCATCTCTTGTATACCGGGTATCAGTTAACGCTTTGGTGTTTGAATCGATGGGTTCTGTGTTCGAATCTGACTGGAGCAGTATCATTCAGTGGAGATTTCAGCTGATGAATCCCAAATAGGACGAAATGGGCATCTTGAATACCAGTGTTAGGTTACCATCTACCAAATGACATCATGTTAGCCCCCAACCCCACAGACATCATTGAATGGTACGTACTAGGAACCAAGATATCGACAGAAACTAAACATTTCAGTTCAATACAATAGATCACCAAGAAATACAACATTAAGTTAAACAAATTATCACTTAAGTTGGTATATGCTGATAAAAGTAATTTTAATTTTAAGTATGAATGAAGTACTACCTGATCACCAATTGTCAATTGTAGTTCACTAGTTAGGAATTAGATTGAGTGTTGGAAACCCCGTCCTGTTTTCCTCGTCGTTTACACAGTTCCGTGAGGTTCAGTTGAAATGGCCTTTTTTATTGCATTTATCCCAACATTGCAGAAACCCTTATCTTATTTGCATTGAGATCTGTGTTCATTGAGGAACTACATCGACTATGGATATTAGTACTGTTTGGTTTGGTTACTTAGCTGCCGGTTTTTTTATTCCTCTAGACATAATTTTTCATCTTCAGTTATGAAACATAGTTGTTCAATTTGTTTCTACGCCCATGTCGTGTTCAAATGTGTATTCCTTTTTTGGTGTAGCTGTGCTGTCTGAGCAAACTGGATGGTTTATTTGCGAAGCTTTTATTGCCTCTTATTAAGCAACATCTTCAGCGTATGACTACAATTTGTGATAGTGAGGTTTTAGATTTCTCCACCAGTTTATAAGTCATTTCTCCTAGTGGTGACCTTGAATGTCGTCAATGGTTCTTTTTGTGTTTTCACACCCTCTAGCCTATTTGCATTAGTACTGATTGTCTCCTTAACATGAACTTTAACCCTTTGTTTATGAGATTTCCTTCTAACAGAGTGGTAAATTTTACCTATATGAATATGTCTATTCGGCGTACCCCAAATATTCATCAATCTTGCTCAACAGCTGTACGACAACGGCACATGCCAAGTGATCCACAACTGAAAACTCAGCGAGGCGTTCGGAGTAAACGCAAGAGTAAGACAAGGGTGCTTATTATCGCTCACCATGATATTCCTAATTGTGGTGGACTGACTGGATTATGCGTCAGACAGTGGGAATCGAGAAGACAGGAATATCCTGGACCGACGGACGTGAAGAACCTAGAAGACCTGGATTTCACGCGTGGATGATTTATATTTGATGTTACACAAAATCGAAGACTTACAAGCGAAAACCGACAAACCGGTCGAACAAGCAACCGGCGAAGACAGGACTCCGGGTGAACATAGACAAGACGGAGGTTATGAAAATAACCAACCAACCAACCAACAACAACAGCGGAAGCAACATCCAGCGTCAGTCACCATCAACGGGAGAGATTTCAAAGGGGTTACTTCATTCACTTATCTAGGGAGCATTGTCTCAACTACAGGCAGTCAGAACAGACGAGGATGTCAAATCGAGAATCGGGAAGGCAAGAAACACATTCATCAACCTGAAACCAATCTGGATATCTTCGTCACTCAGCCAGAATCAACAACAAAATTCAGTCGGATTTACAATACGTCAAAAACGTCAAGTCAGTGAGTTCTTCTATACGGATCAGAAACTTGGCTGGCGGGTCACAAAGAATATCTCCAACAGCCTGTTGCATGCAGACCTTTATCAACAACAACTGTCTTCGCTGGATCTATACTGAAGATCAGATGACCGGGTCGGAAAGAATCATCAACAAGAAACTATGGGAACAAACAAACAAAAACCAATCGCCAAGCCAAAATACGCAAGAGAATGTGGAGATGGATTGGACACTCGCTCGCTGAGGAGGCCGCTGGGTGACATCGCGCGCGCGTCAGGCCATTTCTCGAGTGGAACCAGGCCGAAAGGGAAGCGGCGAGTGGGACGTCAGTGCAAGAGTGACATGAAGGAGATCATGTGAAGAGGAGTTGAAACAGTATGAACTAACACGGATGCAAATGAAAAGTACAGCAGCAGAAGACAGAAGCAAGTGGAGGCGTGCAGTTGAAGCCCTATGTTCCACTAGGAACCCAAGGGAACTATAATAATAAGAAGAATGTGTCTGTTAATTGACGATTCACCGGAATACGGGGCTTCTAAGAGTTGTATGGCATTCTTGTTGTTTCCTCTGTCTGTCCACTTCATCATATCGCTGCATACAAACAACCACGGACATCAATTCGACTGAGACGACGTTCAAATACTACACAGAGGAAACATCAAGAATACCAGAGAATTTTCGTAAGCCTAGTACACCAGTGAATCGTTAATCAATAAACACACTGACATAGACATAATTTACCAATCGATAAGAAGGAAATCTCATACACAAAGGGTCAAAGTTCATGTTAAGGAGACAATCAGTACTAATACAAATAGGCTAGAGGGTGTGTGAAAACAACCAAAAACAACCAACCACGACGTTCGAGGTCACCACCAGAAGAGATGACTAATAAATTCGTGGGGAAATCTAAAAGCTCACTATTACAAATTGAAGTGTATGCGCTGAAGATGTTCCCTAGTAGAAGGCAATTGAAGCTTCACAAATAAAGCATCCAGCTCAGACAGCACAACTACATTAAAATCATCCACCTGAGTTACACATCTCCATCATATCTACACTTGTCTTTGTTAAGAATGATTTCACATATGAGGCAACTATTTTTCAATCCTGTGTATTTTAGTTTCTATGCCCCCTTTGTAATGTGTATATTCACACCTTCAAACTTTCATATCACCTTTATTCTGTCTTCGTTATTATGTTGAATTAAATAATAATTATAACTATGCAAACTTATGTGTAAAAATGCGATTGTGGAGGTACTTTTAAAGATGAAATCGGCGAAAAGATATTCTCTGCTGAGATTCTTGTTGTTTTCTTTCCAATTCCGGATGGGGAATCACGAGTTGATATCAGTTAGATAACTATTGGGGAACCAACCAGGGAGTACTGTTGCATCCACCTAGTTTGAAACTTTTCAGTTGTACACACCCACCCCACAGGGGGTTCAAACTCAGGACCTACCGGTTACAAGGCGAGCTTGTAGGCCATTCACAGCCAAAGGCTAACGAATTCCAACTTCTGCTAATTCACACTATACATAAATTCGCATGCTTCCGTGGGGATAGCTATACAAAGGAGCACACAAAGTGAATACTTGCTCCCCTCTCCACCAATAAATCTGAGAACATTATACGACATAACCATCAAAAAATGATGAAGCCATTCGAATAACTCTAATTCCAAACATCCAATTAAAAATAGGGCTTCGCCAGAGTCATCTTTCAAAGTTATCTACCACAGTAAGACTGGATGAAAGAGGTGTTAGATTCTGACGCATGCATGGCGGACGTACTAGCAATTCAAGCTCAGACAAGCACTGTGTAGAGAGAAACGTTTGTCCGACCTCTTATTCTACCATGATTTTCAACTCATTCTAAACTAACAGATTTTGTATTTTTAGTATTAAGCAACTCACTGTTATAACTTCTAAATGTTCCTTCCATATACATTTTGGTTTTATTCCCTTTGTCTTTTTCATACTCGTCAAGAGGGTATAATATTCAACCAAATAACTTTTCTACAAAGTGTGCTAAAACAGAGTAACGAATAGATCTTGTTTGCTCCCCTGTTTAACCATGCTGCATGATGATGTTCAAAAGATGTACAATGAATGTTTACTTCTTGTTCAACAAGGAATTCTATAGGCAAATTGATGGTGTCGCTATGCGCCACACACCACACATTAGGTCCAATTCAAACTAATTTTCTCCTTGTTAAGGTAAAGAAATGGACCTGCAGAGTTAGTCACATTCAGTGTATAATTAGGCAAGTTCATCATCGTATTTCTGAACATGATCCTGCATAATGATTAAGCAAAGGGCTAGCAAGATCTTTTCGTAGCTAGCTCTATTTTAGCATACCTTGTAAGACACTGAGCATAAAATGGCATGGTAGGACCTGCAGGAACAATGGTTCCAGTCAGTGTAGCTTGTTGGGTCATTGAGATGTGCAAGCCCGACCACCACGTCAAGGTAGCAGCTATCGGTCAGGTGACATTAATAAAGCATTTAAAATAGCTTTTCATTGCAAAACAACTCTCTCCTTGTTGAATTTCTAACGCCTACTTTCAATGTCTTAGTTTGACTGTTACGCAATATTTGCAAAGCACTCCAAGATGGCTGTTAATCCCCCCAGTATTGTTTAATAACACACTGAGATACGCTTTACGAAATATAAACATGATTGTACTACTATTCATGGTATTCCCCATTGATTGAACACTTTCTGTCGACATATCAGCTCCTGGCGGGACGAGAGCTGGCTGCGAACAAGCCAAAATTGTAGGCAACAATTTACGTCCCGAATCGGGGTAATGAGAAGAAAAACACAAAAAACAAAGCTTAACCTTGAGGAACTCAACAACCAATCACAGCAGACTTAACGTCTGCAAATACGATTCGCGGATATATGACTCAACTTTCTAAGAAACGGTAACAAGCAGTACAAAATAACCTTTAGCAAGAAAACAACCAATCAGAAGACGTTACTTCTCCGCTGACAATAATGTACATAAAAACCTACAAATATCTCTCTTGATTTTCCCTCAATAAACGACCTGTTGCCTGATCCTTGTCTCTGTCGTTACACTAGTACGGACGCTTCGAAGAAGATGTGTGAAGATTCATCAATACGGTGTTATTTTACTTGATGATGGTCCGAAGCGTTTGAAGTTATGCGGTACTTGATTCGAGTCTCATTAGAGATTGCAGGTACATCCAACTGAAGAGTCCCAAAAATAGAACACGAAAAAAAGTTCGTCTTGGATTTCATTGCTAGTATCAACATCCATAAGTCCATCCATTCATAATTCAGGATACCCAATTAGGCCCATAGTTGATTTTAGAAATTCAACTACTTATGAATTATCTAAATATTTAGCCATGGTATTAAATCTCCTAAAAATCCGCTCGAAATCTAGACTAACTAATTCTTATGAACTATAACACAGATTAGATAATTTAAAATTAGATAATAAAGAAAAAATGGTTAGTTTTGACATTGTCAGTTTATATACACGTAAACCAATAAATATGGCTATAGAGGCGGTCAGAAACGAACTCATTTCTGACTAGGAACTCGAACTTAGGACAAAGGTGCCACTTAAGGACATAATACTGGGAGTCCAGCTATGCCTAACTTCCACAGTATTTAAATTCCAAGGGAAAATATACAAACAAACTGAGGGAGATGCCATGGGATCACCAATATCCCGGGTTGTAACAGATATATTCATGGATAGGTGGGAAAACATAACAATTGAAACCTGATATGTATCCACATATATATTTATGTGTGTGTGTATGTTGGTCTCTCTTTCTGTTTGCTCGGTTAGTCTGTGACCACTTCACTTGTATGGACTTGTCTCCTTTAATAATGTGTATTCTCCTTATATTATATTATATATAATATGAGTGTTTGTTGACAGTCCGTTGCTTGGTGACATATATCCATATATGTTTGTTGGCATGTCTGCTATATTCGCTATGTATAATTGGATCGACACTCCATTATAATTAGCCATTCATGTTAAGACTGTCTAATGATTTTTCCCACGCTTGTCTGAATTATTTATATATATTCGCATTCACAATTTGTGTGAACTACTTTACTTTACAACTACTTGACTTGCTTACCACTTTGGTGTGAGACCATTTATTTTTGTCTCCTTGTGTTTGGACAATAGAAGTATCATCACAAACCTAGTGGTCTTCTGATTTCCGCCTTCTCGCGTCAGGACTATTAATTTCTCGACCAGTCCATAACAATAATTCAGCGACGAGTACATAATCCACCTCCACCCCAAAAGTATGGTGGAGGCATGTAGATGACACATTCACTGTACTTAGAACACAGAATATAGATGGATTTTTGGAACACATTAACTCAAAGGTGGAGGCAATTCAATTCACCTATGAATTGGAAAGTCAGGAAGCGGCGGCGCTTCCAATGTTAGATTGCAACGTAGAAAGGAAAGAAGATGGGAAGTTAAATACTAGTGTTTATAGGAAACCAACACATTCAAACAGATATTTGGACTTCCGATCATCCCGTCCTATGTCAGTAAAAATAGGATTGGTGAAATGTTTAAATGACAGAGTACAAAACTAAGTAGTACCAAAGAAAATCTAAGTGGAAAAGAGATACATATAAGAGAAGCCTTGAAACTTAATAATTACCTGGATAAATTAGTCAGGAAATATATAGGGAAATGTAAAAATTAAATAATGATAGTAATGATAGTGATAATAATATTAATGACGACATGCAAGTCAAATGTGCGCAAGACAACACCAACAATAAGGAATCTCAATCATCAGTAGTAATTCCATACAAGGAAGGAACCTCGGAAACCTCACACAGAATTCTGAACAATGCAGGAATGAAAGTGGCATTCAAACCCCACAAACTCAATTAGAAACAAGCTTTGTCAGTTAAAGGATCCTACCAGTGAAGCCAATTAAACAAAACAATTTAGTTTATCTGATACCGTGCTGGAATGTTTGTCAGGTCAAATACATAGGTCAAAGTAGTAGAACAGGTGCAGTCAGTCAGACTAGTGGAGCATAAAATCCCAACAAGATCTAGATTGGATGACCCGAATAAGGTAAGGAATCTAGAGAAGAGTTCAGCTGTAGTACTCACTACATGCAATAACACAATCATACAATAGCATTTTTATGTTATTTTATTTTTTTTTGATTTACAGCTTGATTCCACACTACTTTTGGTACAAGTATGGAATTTTCAGCATGGATATCGGTAGCCTAAATTTCGCAGGCCGACCATAGATATCAGGTGTGCGTCGGCAGGGGATCGAACCTCGGACCATGTGCATGGTCGGCAAGAGTCCTAACCACAGTGCCACCGACGCAAAGTTTTAAAATCGAATGTCACATGGTGGAGGGACAGATTGATAACAGAAGCTTTGTTTATCGAATTAACTGAGAGAGCACGTGTAATAGGAATGATTCAACACCTGTTCATCCAGATATCTGGAAAATTCTACTACCTATACGACAAATAGGAGAGGACAAAGAAAACTATAAAACACAAGTCTTGAAGTCGTGTGATTATAATTGATGTGATTATGAACAATAAATTTTGTTCGAAACGTCATCCAGTAAATAGCAATACTGTTTCACTGCGTGATACATCTAATAAACAAACTAAGAGGGAAAAATCAACATCCATCCACCAAGTAACATCGGGTTTTTTTTAATTCTCAGACATTGTCAAAGCGTTCATGTTCAGGGAGTTAACAACAATACCAGCAGACATTGAACCTTTCGGTTCTAAATACACAACAAATTAATCAAAGAGGGAAATGCAAAATTCACTTTTAAAAAAAGTATCACTTACATTCAATTTGAATGTAGTTTTCGAAGGAAGTTGATCATCATATCTGAATGGTTCAGTGTTTGAATTCAACAATGAATGTGTGACCTAATAATAATAATAATAGTAATAATAATATATAAGAAAATAATACAGTAGGGTGAATGGAAGAATGTATAGAAAAACCGACACCATTAAATCCTATTGTTGAGTACACTACAACTTTTATACAACATATATGCCTCGATGGGAACATCATCACTCACTGGGGAATGCAGGTACATCCAGATGACGAGTCTCAAAGAGGACGAAACGCACATCCTGGATTCCACTGCTAGTTACCATTATCCACCAATTAAATATATTCAAAACAAGCAACAGAGTAGGTTATTAAAGCAGGATTTAATGATGGATTCATCAAATTTTGGTAGAACTCGTCAGCTGAATACTCTACATACACGGATATATATATATATATATACTTTTGAAATTACATAGAGAGATATAAGACTGATAAGTAAAATCGATATCCTGAGAAGTTCATTAATAAATACTCTAAAGAAATTAGCCCCTGCAAAACAATTCAAACAGTTCCGAAGAAACCTGTCTATATCAGTTTGCCGTTCAAAGGATATGATGTATACGAAATAGTCAAACAGAGACGCGATAAGGCCATCAAGAGAACTTATTATGCTGCAAAACTTGTAATCCTTAACACCACTAAGCGAGTGCTTCAACAATCTGGGAAAGACCAGTACTCGCCAATCCTCGACACTTCAAACTGCGTGTATTAGTTTGAGTGTGTTCGTGGAAGCAAATACATAGGTCGTACGGAAAGGCGATTGTCTACTCGAATGATGGAGCATTTGTCAAAATGGTTGAAAACAGTTGAGTGTAAAGTGTCAAAATCCTCAACAACAAAACATCTTGTGGATTACGACATGATATCCACGCGGTCAAGTCATTCTCGACCGAAAGCTGCTACCTTGACGTGGTGGTCGGGCTTGAACACCGCAATGACCTAATCAAGCTATACTGGCTGAGACTTATGTCTCTTGAGGTTCTACCATGCCAGGCAGGTTGTTTGGATAGCGGTTAAACAAAAAGCAGCTACCTCATCCAATACCATGATCCAAACAAATTCACAAAATTTCATGCCGGATCGGCCGTGGCCCGGATTAACAACGACCGCGCTTCCTGCTGCCGTGTCACAGGGCAGGAGTGATAAGTATGCTACTGAGGCACACCAAACAACGAACAAAAACAGGCCGCGTGTGACCGGCCTCAAGCAGTTGTCCCCTGGGCTCTGCGGTCACGCAACCAACTTCCACGGTGTGGGCAGCCGGGAAGTAACAATCGCCCTCACAATCCGAAATGCACACAAAACCTCTCTAATCCTCACTTATCTTTGTCTTCATCTTCATCTCTATTACCTTGCCTTCCTCCACTGATGCAACTCCTCTACTTGATGGCTCCTCACTCCCTCTTCACTCTGTGTCCACTAAAAACGACGAAAGCCAAAAAACCACCACGGATAGTCTCCTAAAGCCACGCCACCAATTTCATATAGGAGCATTTAATGTTAGGACACTTTGCCAAATAGGACAACAAGCATCACTAGCTAAGACCCTGGCATCTCGAGCCATTGATGTATGTTGTGTTTCAGAAACACGCATACAAGACCCAAGTGTGGTTATTCACCTAACCCCACCTGGCCAACAGGATGAATCTTCAAAATTCACCTTGAGGGTGTCAGGAGATGCCACAGCTAGTTCACGAGGATTAGCTGGCGTAGGGATAGCTTGAGTACTAGGGCAGAAAAGACATTGCTTGACTGGATCCCAGTAGATAGCCGAATGTGTGCTGTCCGTCTGAACGGATCAGTAAGAAGGAGAAAGGACTGCACTACTCGCCGATGCCTTTTCGTAATCTCCGCCTACGCCCCCACTGACTGCAGTTCGGATGAAACGAAGGATGAGTTCTACCAAAAGCTGTCTAGTTTGGTGAGAAAGGCTAAACGCTCAGATATAGTCGTTCTAGCTGGTGACTTTAACGCTCAAGTAGGGAAATTGTGTCAATCTGAGAAGGATGTCGGTGGCACCTATGGAGTTCCGTGCCAGCGAACCGACAACGGTGACCGTCTCCTACAGTTCTGTTCAGATAATCATTTGTTTCTTGTAAGCACTAACTTTAAACACAAGGAGAGACACTGTTTAACCTGGCGACCCCCATCATCAAACCAACGCTGGACACAAATAGACCACATAGCAATAAGCTATCGTTGGCGTGGGTCGGTAGGAGATTGTCGCTCCTTCTGGAACACGTGTGTAGATACCGATCACGCACTGGTCCGGGCTCGTGTGTGCTTACGACTGAACGGACGTAGGAAACAGCTGGCGGTAAAACCATCACGTCCCCAGCTCGATCAGGAAACTAAATCCCTATTTGAGGAAGAACTAGCTAAACGCATATCTGAATTCGACAGCTGTGCTCACCCTGGAGAAGCCTGGAAGAATATTCAGTCAGCTATAGATACAGCTGTAAAAGCTGTGAATAAGGCAAATCCAAAGGTGAGTAAAAACCACTGGATTTCGACTGCCTCATCCGAACTGATAGATGCTAGAAGACTTATTCCGGCGAGCTCCGAATTCAATGAGGAGCGAAAGCTGCACAAAAGGAAACTTACTAAAAGTCTCCGCAAGGACCGTGAACAGTGGTGGGTGACAAAGGCGAAAGAGATGGAAAAAGCATTGGCGATAGGCAACACTAGGCAACTCTTTAGACTCATCAGAATCGGGTGGGAGAAGGCAATTCATAAGTGAGACTATTTCTGAGAAAAATGGCTCCTTAATTAGCTCTCAGGATAGACGCCTTGAACGCTGGAAAGAACACTTTGAGGAACAATTTAACTTGCCTACAGCCACACTGAACCTCCCCGCCATCCACCACGTACCCGAATGGGATATAGACACTGGTCCGCCGTCTGTAGGTGAGGTTACAAAAGCTATCAGTAATTTGAAACGAGGCAAAGCGGCAGGACCCGACGGAATTATTCCGGAGGTGTTTAAATATGGGGGTGACATACTAGTTTGTAGATTAACTGAGGTACTAGGCAAAGTCTGGGAATCAGAGACAGTACCATCAGACTGGGGTAAGTCACTTATTATACCGATATTCAAGAAGGGAAACAAGTCCTCGTGTGATAATCATAGGGGGATCAGCCTAACGAACATAGTCTCTAAAATCCTAGGCTCAGTAATCATGCATAGACTAAGCAGAACTCGGGAGGAACAGACAAGGGAAAATCAAGCAGGCTTTAGACCAGGTAGAGGGTGCATAGATCATATCTTCACTCTTCGACAGATTCTAGAACATAGACACACTTTTCGGCGTCCAACAATTGTCATATTTCTTGACTTGAAGGCGGCCTTCGACTCCGTGGATCGAAAGGTACTATGGCAATGTCTGACTGTGAAGGGAGTGCCAAGAAAGTACATTGCACTAATCAAGGCACTCTATTCAAACTCACGTAGTCGTGTAAGGGCTTATGGGGAATTGTCATCTGAATTGGTAACAACCAGTGGTGTCCGACAGGGATGTCCACTTTCCCCATTTCTGTTTAACTTCATCATAGATATGCTAATGGAAGTATCCTTAACTGAACGTAATGACTTAGGAATCGACTTGTTACCAGGGAATAATCTTATGGACTTAGAATATGCAGATGACATAGTCCTGTTAGGGGAGGATGCTGACAAAATGCAGAGTCTTCTGAACACCTTGAGCAGCAATCTTCGTATGTTTGGCATGCGATTCGCCCCTGCAAAATGTAAGATGCTGCTACAGGACTGGACACGTCAACCCTAACTTAGTGATAGGGAGTGAAGTGATAGAACATGTTGACCACTTCACCTATTTGGGAAGTTGTATTAGCACCAACGGACTGATTGGCGATGAAATCTCAGCACGGATCCGAAAAGCTCGAGCTGCTTTCGCTGACTTACACCATCTCTGGCGTAGGCGTGACATCCGGTTATCAACCAAGGGACGTGTGTACTGCTCATCAGTTCGCTCCGTCCTTCTCTATGGCTCTGAAACATGGCCAATACGCGTTGAAGACATGAAAAGGTTGACTGCTTTCGATCATAGATGTCTGCGATCTCTGTCTCACGTTAGGTGGTTTCACAAGGTAAGTAATGTTGACGTTAGGCGTAGAGTGTTGGGCAAAGAGGGAAAATCAATCGACGAGGCTATAAAGTTACATAGACTAAGATGGCTAGGTCACGTGCTGCGCATGCCTAACCACCGCCTCCCCCGACGGGCATTGCTAGCTGATATAGGTTCAGGTTGGAAAAGAGCCAGTGGTGGCCAAACAAAAACATGGCATCAATCCATGAAATCCTTGACAGTTAAACTGAGTCAGGTAGGGAGATGCAGACTTCCGGGTTGGGGCCCTCGGGACTCTAGGAATCAATGGCTGGAGACAATAGGTGACATGGCTCAAAATCGTTGTCAATGGCGCAGATGTATTCAGTCTCTGTAATCTTTCATATTCCTTTCTACCATTACCCATTCTGTTTCACTCTTATACTTGTCAAACTCTATTGATTCTCTTCACTCATCTTCTTGTCTACCTCTGTGTGCTATTTGGAACGTGGCAACTCGAACTGCTGCACTTCGGTGCCAAGTTCTATGTTGAATCCAGACAGAGACAGACAGGTCAAGTCATTCACTTTTGTCAACAGACAAAGAAACACGAAGATGATTGCAATTGCAGAGGCTTGTGCGATTCGAGTTTATAAACTAGGTCTCTGTGTACAAAAGGAGATGGTCGTCACTTTGAATCTACCATGGTAATACGTTTTACTTATCATTCTACCTCTTATTGTTATGATTATTCTTGATTCATCTAAAACTATGCTTTATCCGTACGATTATCTTAACTCACTTCAACACTATTGTTATTATTGTTATTATAACCATTACTATTGATATCACTCTGTTTGCAATTCTGGTTATATTCTCTAATGACTAATTGTTTATCTAAGTGATGTAATTGAAGCCTAGTGCAATTTATCTTAATTTTGATCTCTCATACTCTCTTTCCCCTTATCTATTTGAACATAACCCGGAAAACATTCGCACGTGTCTTTCTGCATGATTAATTCAATGTAGTTTATTTGCTTATCAGTCTTATATCTCCCAATGTAATTTCAAAAGTATATATACATATATCCGTATATGTAGATTATTCAGCTGACGAGTTCTACCAAAATTTGATGAATCCATCATTAAATCCTGCTTTATTAACCTGCTTTGTTGCTTGTTTTAAATTTGTATCGGGAAATAAATGTTTTCAATTAAATATATATGCAAGGTGTTGGATTAGACATTAGACTATCAACGACGAGAACAAGGTCTCGAACCATGGTTTATTTACTGAGGATTGAGCAGTCAAATGGTAATATCAGTCTTTTACAAAACATCAGACTGAGTTACTGACAAATATCACACTCAAAATGTGAGGGTGTTGATGGTATTATTCCCATTGTCCCCCATTTTGTATTTAATTTCATCACAGATGTACGAATAGAATTCGCCCTAACTGACTTCAGAGAATTAAGCGATTGACTAGTTACTAGGGTATAGAGTCTTGTTGACTTAGAATATGCGATTGACATATTTCTCCTAGGTGGAGACGCTGATAAAATGCAGTCTCCTGAAAGCCTTAAGCAGCAATCTTCGAATGCCCCCCCCCATGCGATTTGTTCCTGTTATAAATATAAGATAGATGCTACAGGACGGGAATACACTGACTCTTAGCTTAAAGATAGGAGGTGAAGTGGAAGAGCGTGTTGACCACTTTACTTATTTCATTGGCTTTAACGGGCTGATTGCTGACGAAATTTCAGCACGGATACACAAAAGGCACGTGTGTAACGTTTGCCAGCCAGCATTACACACCTCTGAAGTAGACGTGATATCTTTCTATCGATTAAATGTGTGTGTAGTGCTCAACAGTTCAGTCCGTCCTTCATGGAAATTGGCAAACATAAAGAGATTGAACACCTCTCTTTGATCATAGGTGCCCGCTTTCTATCTCCCGAGTTAGGTGGGTGGTATAATAATAAAGGGGGGAGTAATATTCAGGGGTAGGCCTCAGTCGAGTGAGGGCTAGGTAGGGAGGGAAAATCTATGGATGAGGTGGTTGTGAGGTTATACCGATTGGGATGGCGCTCAGACATGTGTGTTACTCATACATCCCTAGCCACATCGCCTTCCTCGGCAACAAGTAATATTAGTTGACTGATATAGAATTGTCAAGTATTGCTTTTTGTAGGGATTTAGTTTGATTGGATGGAGGATTTCATCATGAGTTGACATCAGTTAGCGAACCATTGGAAAATCTGGGAGTACTGGACAGCTGTTTCGTCCTAGTTTGAGACTCTTCATCAGTATGCAGGTTGGAGAAGAACTAGTGGTGGTGGTGGTCAAAGCAATACATGGCTTCATGAGTCAATAAAATCATTTGACAGTTGGTTTGAATCACGTAGGTAGGTTTAGACTGTCAGCTTGGGGTCGTCAGAAGGCTAAGAGCCAATGAGGGCGAGGTAGACAACTTGGTATTGACTAATCGTTATCAATCGGATGAAATAAAGTTATTATTCTCACACAATCCAACTAAATTTTCTAAACATGTATAAAGAAGAAGCATTTGCACAATTCCATGCAAATGACAATGAGCCATTCAACCTCTTTAGCCTGAGGGCTTTTTCTATTCCTTTACGTTCTCCCAGTGGAACATAGGGGGGGGGGGCTTCAAGATACAACTTCGAAGTTTCAGTAGCAGTGGTGTTTATGTCCAACCTTCCCTCTTTACCAGTCTTATTACTGGCTTATAGAGGTGAAGGAGTGGATGGGCGGCCGGGGATGGAAGCCATGAACCACATGAGACGTGGTTGGTGAGCATTCTACCACTGTGACACCGATGAGAATACAATATAAATTAAGTGCAAAAAAATTTGAAGGATCTGGACTTCGTCGACAACATTTATATGTCTGATTTCACACAAACTGGAAGATATGCAAGTGGAAAGCAACAAGTTGGCAGGAGAAGCAACCAGAGAAGATAGGCCTTCAAGGGAACATAGAGAAAACAGAGGTGATGAAGATTCCTGGCCAACAACAACAGCAACAACCACCACAATAAAAACAGACAACAATCAGCATAAATGGGAGGAACCTGAAAGAAACAACCTCCTTCACCTACCTACCTACCTACCTACCTACCTGGAAATCATCATGGACAGAACTGATGAGGATATCAAAGTAGCGAGGATTGGGGAAGCAAGGCAGGCAAGCTTTCGCTACTCTCAAGTCTGTGTGGAGGAGATCAACAGCACTCAGCATGAAAATGAAAATAAGATCCGGATTTTCAACTGCAATTTGAAGTCAGGGCTGTCTGTCTGTCTGTTTTCGACATAGAACTTTGCACAAATGTGCGGAAGTTCAAGTCGCCACATTCCGTGTAGCACGCGAAGCAAGAGAAGAAAGTACAAGAAAAGCATAATAGAAACAGTGAGCAGAGATGTGAGACAAAGGAGAATAAAGAATAACAAAACAGTTTCATTGGAGATCATAAGTCACAGGGAGTGGATGCATCTGCGCCACTGAGAACGATTTTGAGCCATGTCACCAATTGTTTCCAACCATAGATTTTTACCGTCTCGAGGACGCCAACCAGTTGGGAAGTCTACACCTTCCTATGTGGCTTAGACCAACTGTTGTGGATTTCATTGACTGGTGCCATGTTTTTGTTTGACCGCCGCTAGCTTTTTTCCAGCATGACCCTATATCCGCTAACATTGCTCGTCGAGGGAGGCGATGGCTTGGCATACGCGATGGTCGAGTGGAAGTCAGGGCTACTTAATATACGGATAAGAGACTTGGCGCCGCGTCACGAAAGGGCACTTTGAACAAACTAGAGACATTCATCAACAGCCGTCTTCGTTCAATACTACTCAAGATCAGATAGCCGGCCAGAATAGACCAGCAACACGGAGGGATCTCTGGCAATCAACGAACCGACCTAGCAGGAACCAATTGTGCAACAAATGTGCAGGAACAAATGCAGGTAGATTGGCCATACTCTGAGAAAACAAACCATCAAGTGAGTGACATCACACGCCAGGCCATCGCTCGAGTGGAACCCGAACGGGAAGCGACTAGTTGGTCGTCAATGCGAGAGCGACATGGAGGAGGAGGCCATATGAAGAGGAGATGAAAGGATGTGGGCAGATGTGTGAAGTCAGGTAAAACCGTTGGCAGAGAACTGAACGGAATGGAGAGGTGCGGCTGAAGCCTTATGTTCCTCTAGGAACTAAAGGAAACAATAATAAGTGCAATAGCCTTTCCATCCATCAGTAGTAATTATTCAGTAACAGAACATGTGTGCGTCGGTGATTCAGCAGTAGAGCGCTGACCGACTCGTAAAGGCGTGCGCCGGCTGGGGTTCGAACTCCGGACCACATAGGTTGTGGTTGGCGAGTATTTTACCGCCGTGGCACAGACGCTCTGTCTGAGGACTAGTTGTACTCTATCTGGTTGCCTAAATCTCGGTATGCGCCACAAGTTTTGAACCCAAAGAGGAGAGAGGTTTGACTAAAGCACACACATGGCTTGGCAAAATGACAATTTAACAAAACAATACAATACAATATAATACTCACTTTAACATGACGTAAAGAATCTTTAGATTCACTTTCTAAAGATTTTTGAAGAGCCTCCTTAATCAAACACTTTCCACTATACCTGAAAGACAAAGAAGAGTTGAAAAGTTTAAGACGGGGGGGGTGGTCAAACAGAATAACTATATGAATACTTATGTCATATTTTTATCACACTGAGGTTAAAGATAATGAACTTAACAAAAATAAAACAAATACCAAATGTTCAAGTATTGCTTTTGGGACTCTTCATCAGTACGCACCCACTGCTAGGATTGGAACCCATGACGTTTCGGTTACGACGAGGCGAGCTCGTAGACCGTCGAGCCACTGGGATCTGATCTAATGGTCAGCTCATGAATTCCAACTTCTTCCAATTCACGATATAGCGCGTAACTGGCACTAGCCAATGTTATCACTGGCGAGTATTTGTCCTCACAACCGATTTGCTACAGCCCCACTGGTCACCACTTATCACTAGAACCTAGATAACGAACTTGCCTTGAAACCGTAAATTCCTGGGTACGAACTGTGGTGGTAGGTGCGTAGTGGTGAAGAGTCCCAAACTAGTGGGATGAAACAGCTGTTCAGTATTCCCCTGCTGGTTTTTCCAATCGTTCTACAACCAATATCAGCTCATGATGAAATTCTGTAAAAGTAGAGGACAAATTGTAAGTCTATAGTCAAATTTCGATTACAATTCATGCAATTTTATTTATTATATTTTGGTAGTCTTTTCATGACTCATACGACTGAACAAGGCTTTTAAAGACACGATGTGTCCTTATATATATATATATATATATATATATATATATATATATATATTTGTCGGTGGCACAGCGGTGTTAGGACGCTCGCCGACCATACACATGGTCTGGGGTTCAATGTCTGGCCGACAGCCTTCCTTACGTCTCTAAGCCAATAACACGAAGCTAGTAAAGAGGAAAGTTTGGGCATGAGGTTGGCTAGCGACCACATCCTGTAAAAATAATCACCACTGCTACAGAAACTTCACGCCTCTAGCTTGAAGCGTTATGTTCCACTAGGAACGTTAAGGAATAAATTATATATAAATATATATCACTATCAACGGGAGGGATTTGAAAGAAGTTACTTCATTCACTCACTTATCTAGGGAGCATTGTCTCAACTACAGGCAGTCAGAACAGACGAGGATATCAAATCGAGAATCGGGAAGGCGAGAAACACATTCATCACTCTGAAACCAATCTGGAAATCTTCGTCACTCAGCCAGAATCAACAAAAAAATTCAGTCGGATTTACAATACGTCAAGTCAGTGAGTTCTTCTATACGGATCAGAAACTTGGCGGGCGGGTCACGAAGAATATTTCCAGCAGCCTATTGGATGCAGACCTTTATCAACAACTGTCTTCGCTGGCTCTATACTGAAGATCAGATGACCGGGTCGGAAAGAATCATCAACTATTGGAAACTATGGGAACAAACAAACAAAAACCAATCGCCAAGCCAAAATACGCAAGAGAATGTGGAGATGGATTGGACACTCGCTCTCTGAGGAGGCCGCTGGGTGACATCGCGCGCGCGTCAGGCCATTTCTCGAGTGGAACCAGGTCAAAAAGGAGGGAAGCGGTGAGTGGGATGTCAGTGCAAGGGTGACATGGAGGAGATCGTGTGAAGAGGAGTTGAAAGAGTATGGACTAACACGGATGCAAATGAAAAGTACAGAAGCAAGTGGAGACGTACAGTTGAAGCCGTATGTTCCACTAGGAACCCAAGGGAACAATTATATATATATATATATATATATATATATATATATATATATATATATATATATATATATATATAGGAATTACTCATTTCAATTTCTCTGAGACTTATACAAATATAATTTTTACATGTCTACTTCTCACTCGCTGCTCAATTATATTTTGGAATTTATTTGGTCAAACTTTGATCATTGTTCATGTGAAGTTATATATATATATATATATATATATATATATATATATAGCTAATTATCAGCCTATACAGACGTGACCCTCATAACTAACTAACTAACAGCTATAATTAGGAGTTAATTGGTGGGTGGTGACTAGCAGTGGAATCCAGTCAGGATGCACCTTTCATCCTATTTGCGACTCGTCAGCTGGATGTGCCAAGTATTTCAGTCTAATCAGTAATACTGAATAAAATAACAGGTATAATATTAGAAACCGAGCTACATTATAAATGAAAAAATAATGCAACTTACAAATGACCAAAATTTAAATGCATTCCAGCACCAATTACCGCCAAATTTGCACAAGTACTACGTGAACTAACAGCTGAATTTACTGTTGATGATGTTGCGATGGCTGTTGTTGTCGTTGTGGTGGTGGTAGTGCCAGTCGTACCTGTCGTTCCTGCCGATGTTGTTAATGACGACAATGAGATTGGTGGTACTGGTGGTGCTGATGTTAACTGCTGGCCACCTAATAACGCCGCTTCTGGATCTTCTGAAGATGCCATACATGTTTCAATATATGCATGTAATTCATTCTCAGCTTCTATAAAATTACGTTTATGCAATGCGTAGACATGTGATGCATAGTGCTATTTTCGGTTAGACGGAGGAGGCGAGGAAAAGAAAAAATTAACACATGTACATCATTAACAAGTGATACAACAATGTGGAAAACGAATAATCCATTAAAATTGTTACGTTAAGATGTACTAACAAGTAGTAGTCTTAGCGGTGTGGTACATCAGTAAAACACTCGCTAACCACCCATGTGGTCTGGCGTTCGATTCGCGGCCGACACACTCCTACACCTCTCTGAGCCGGTCTGTCTGTTTTCAACATAGAACTTTGCACCGATGTGAAGCAGTTCAAGTCGACACACTCCCTCCTTGTAGCACACACAACAAGAGAAGAAGTAGAAGAAATGCTAAATAGAGACAGTAAGCAGAGGTGTAAGACAAAGTAATAACGAAGAAAAACAAACTTTTATTGGGTATTATTAGTCATAAGGAGTGGATGCATCTGCGCCAGCCAGACATTTAGAACGATCACTTTGAGCTATATCATCTATTGGCTCGCCGTAAGCTCTCACATGGCTGCATGAGTTCAAATAGAGTGCCTTGATCAGTGCAATGTATTTTCTCGGAATTCCCTCTACAACTAAGCATCGCCAGAGAACCTCTCGGTCGACAGAATCATATGCCGCCTTTAAGTCAAGAAATATAACGATTGTTGGACGCCGCCCGTAACTATGCCTACGTTCTAGAATCTGTCGAAGGGTGAAGATATGATCAATACACCCTACTCCTGGTCTAAAGCTTGCCTGGCTCCCTCGTGTTTGTGCCTCCCGAGCACCACTCAGTATACGCATGATTATTCAGCCTAGGACTCTAGATACTATATTAGTCAAGCTAATCCCTCTGTGATTGACTGAAGTGGTTAGGACATATGTTACGTATGCCTAGTCATCGCCTCCCTCGACGAGCAATGTTAGCGGATATAGGGTCAGGCTGGAAAAAAGCTAGCGGCGGTCAAACAAAAACTTGGCACCAGTCAATGAAATCCACAACAGTTGGTCTAAGCCACGTAGGAAGGTGTAGACTTCCCAACTGGTTGGCGTCCTCGGGACGGTAAAAATCTATGGTTGGAAACAATTGGTGACATGGCTCAAAATCGTTCTCAGTGACTAGCGCAGATGCATCCACTCCTTGTGACTTATCATCTCCAATGAAACTGTTTTGTTTTTCTTTATTACTCCTTTGTCTCACACCTCTGCTCACTGTTTCTATTATGCTTTTTTGTACTTTCTTCTCTTGCTTCGCGTGCTACACGGAGTGTGGCGACTTGAACTTCCACACATTTGTGCAAAGGTCTATGTCGAAAACAGACAGACAGACAATAAATCCCTCTGTGATTATCACAGGAAGACTTGTCTCCCTTCTTGTATATAGGCATAATCAATGACTTACACCAACCCGATGGGACTTCTTATGATTCCCGGTCGCTTCCTAGTACCTCAGTTAACGCAGATAGTAAACTGTCTCCACCGTAGTTAAATACCTCTGGAGTCATTCTATCAAGTCCTCCTGCTTTACTTTAATAACCTCAGTTAGGGACGAAGGAGCTGTGTCTATGCTCCATTCAGGGAGGTGTTGGATGTTCGGTAAGTTCAGTGTGGCTGTGGGCCAATTAAACTGCTCCTCAAAGTGTTCTTTCTAGCGTTCCAGTCATCTATCCTGGGAGCTAATTATGGTGCCATTCTTCTCAGAGATTGTCTCACTTATCATTTGCCTTTTACCATCTTTTTCCCTGGTGTCACACCCATCGCCTATGCCTTTTCGATCCCTTTCGCTGAGCCGGTACTACTGAGCCCTGTTAAATGAGGGAAGTTTAAGCATGAGGCTAGCAACCCCACCCCATAAAAACAGAAAAGGATAACACTGCTGCCGAAACTTCAAAAGCTCTAGCTTGAAGCTTTATGTTCCACTCATTCCGTAAAAGAATAAAATGTAAACAAATAAATATAATATTTCTAGTAAATAAGCGTAGTCAACCTACAGAAGCTCAGACATGAGTAAAATGAAATCTATTATTATTATTATTATGTAACTGATAGTGACTAACAGTGGAATCTGTTAGGATACACCTTTCCCCCTACTTAAGATGCACCAGGTGAATGCACCACCCCCAGTGAATGACGGTGTCCTCACTGAACTTGAACCCAACAACCGTCTACTTGGCTAAAAATGACATTTGTCTTGGTCAGTGGGACCTCAGCTACCACAGTATCATTCTGCTGTCTGTCTGTCTGTCTTCGACACAGAACTTTGACAGTCAAATATATACCAATTGACAAAGCATACACACACAACTTACTACAGACGGTAGCTCAGGATACATTTCATCTGCCAATGATAAAAGTTCATTATATTTATGAAGATTAACATTTGGACGTCCACCAATTTTTCCAACTGATTCAATAATTTCTGCACATATACTTGAAGCTTTATTTCGACTAAAACAGAGACAAAAAATAACCAACTTAGAATTAGAAGTGGAGAAATATAAGAGAAGTCACCCCACCCCACCCCTGGCCCACTTTCATTTATCTGCCTAAGCAATATCGTTTCAACTACAGTGATACGACACGAATGAAGATATCAAAGATAGACAAGATGGAAAAATCAGGGCAGACATTCAATACTCTGGAATCAGAGTGAAAATCTGCCGCACACTCAGTATAAGGAACAAGATCTAAGTTCTAGTCAACACTAATGTTAAATCACTGCTTCCATCACTCTCGCAGCTGAAACACATGAAGTTGTCGATAAGTTCGTGTAGTTCTGGATAGTCGTGAGTGTTGGCGGACAAGATTTCCAACCGTATCATGAAAGCTACGATATTATACCTGAAATTCAGCCACTTCTAGCTCTGTCGCGACGTTAGCCTGGCTGTTAAAAGTCGGATTTACAATGCTTAGGTGAGCACAGTCTTGCTCAGCACCTGTGGAACCTGGCCTCTCGTAGCTGAGGATGTACGGCGACTCTGTGTATTCGATCATAGCTGTCTCCGTAGAATCGCTTGCGTTTGGAAGTACCATCATGTGAGTAATTCTGAGGTCTGGCGGTGTGTTTGGACACATCGGAGATCATCACTCGTTCATTGGGTGTCGTCATCTGGAAACACCTGCCTCAGTGGCTTGGACATATGCTACGGAGGTTTCCCGTACCTGTCTCTGTCCTCTAGCCAGCCCCGGGACGGGACGGAAAAGGCGGAGAAGTGGTCAGCCAATGGTGTGGCGTCGTGTGATGAAGGATATTTATACTACGTTAGAATCGGTTGGTGGGTCACGACTCGAACCAGTAGCTCGAAACATTATCAGATATGGTCAAGAATCCCAGTCATCAATGGCGAACATACTGTCATTTCCTTTTTTCTTCCTTTTTTGACAATAATTCGACAAGTGCTGTTTGGTCTTGTTAAATATAACTGCTTACTTCTCAGGTGAAGTCCTTTATTTGCTCTCTACCTATTTTCATTCATATGCTGTTTTATCATTATCGTGTGGTTCATCTTCCTAGTGACATTTTGTACGTTTTGTGTTTTTTAAATAAAATAATAATAAAGTAAATACTGCTTCCATATGTTTCAGAAAATTGGCAGACGCGTGACGAAAAACATGCTACTGCCGACTTTCACCAATGGCTGCCTTCGCTCTCTATTTAAGATCAGATGGCCAGAAAGGGTTAGCAGCAAGGAACTCTGACATGCAGCGAGCCAAAGAGTAACTTATTGCCCAACATATATGCAGAAGAGACAGGTACGATATACCCATTGAATAACATCAGGCACCAAGCAGTTCCTAGAATGGGACCCAAACGGGAAGCAAGTTGCAAGTTAGGCGTCCGATAGTGAAATAGAGGATGTCGAGTCAGAAGATAAATGAAAACTTATGCGGAATAGTGTAGCCAGTTAGGATAACTGCAGAGAACTGAGTGAGGTGGAAATGTGCTTCTGAAGTGTAAGGAAATCATAATACATATAAATAGTAACCATAATAACTTAGAATTAGTACTTCTTAGTCTGTCTGTTTTCGACATAGAACTTTGCACCGATGTGCAGAAGTTCAAGTCGCCACACTCTCTCCTTGTAACACACAAAGCAACAGAAGAAAGTAGAAGAAATGCAAAATAGAGACAGTAGACAGGGATATGAGACAAAAAGAATAGTAATAACGAAGAATATCGTTTCATCGGAAATTATAAGTCACAAGGAGTGAATGCATCTGCGCCAGACACTGAGAACGATCACTTTGAGCCATATCCTCGATTGTCTGCAGCCTTCATTGGTCTTTACTGTCTAGAGGACCCCAGTCAGTCAACCAGCCAATCTACACCTCCCTAAGTGGCTTAAACTAATTCCATTATAGATAAGATTTTATTTTGATAAATCGCACAGTGTTTACAGTTATATTAACTGATGACGTTTCGAGCAAAAACTATTGCTCATAATCATATCAAGTTAAACTAACTATTGTGAATTTCATTCACTGATAAAGCCATGTTTTGGTTTGACCACCACTAGCTGACTCTTTTCCAAACTGATTAATCCTATGTCAGTCAGCTAACATTTCCCGTCAAGGAAAGTGATGGCTAGTGATGTATGCGTAACACATGTCCTAACCACCTCAGTGGATTTAGCTTCACAGCCTCGTCGATTGATTTCCCCTCCTTACCTAACACTCAGCGTCTAACCTTAATATTGCTCACCTTATTATACCACTTCACACGGGAGACAGAACGCAGGAACCTATCATCAAAGACAGCTAATCTTTTCATGTCCTCCACTCTCAATGGCCAGGTCTCACAGCCATAAAGGAGGACGGGGTGGACAGCTGAGCAGCACACACCCTTTGGTCGATAGTAGGATATCATGTCTACGTCAGATACGGCGTAAACTGGTATATGCGAAACTAGCCCTCTATATCTGTGCTGAGATTTCGTCAGCGATCAACCCGTTGGGGCTTCTTAGAGAGTTCTTGCAGTGAGTTTTAATCTCACAAAATCCCCTGTCTCCAGGCTGGATCGAACTCCCAACCTCTGGTTTACCAGACTAGTGTTCTAACCACTGTGAAGACGTGACTTATGACTTAAGCACTTAATTGTCAGTCACTGGGTCCCAAGATCGAATCCCACTCCACCTGCATTAACTTAGGCTACTCAATGATATGTCATCACCTCTTACAAAATGAGGTTCATAGTCTGGGATATGAAAAAGATGTTCCCCAATCTGAGTTTCAATACAATCGATTTTATTATTGCTTAGATGGCCTAGTCGTAAATAGTGAAAAATTCGAAGAAATATAAGTATATGGCATTCAATCAATACCTTGAGTTAATCTATAGATATCCCTTAGTCAACAACCTATAGAGAATGCACGCAATCTTTGGCGTAGATGTGATATCCTGCTATCGATCAAAGGATATATGTACTGCTCAGCAGTTCAGTCCATCCTCTTTTATCACAGTGAGGCATGGCCATTCAAAGTGGAAGAAATGAAAAGGCTAGTTGTCTTTGATCATAGATACCTCCGCTCTATCTCCCGTGTTAGATGGTATAATAAGGTGAGCAATATTGACGTTAGGCCTCAGTTAAGTGCTAGGTAAGGAGTGGGAATCAATCGACGAGGTTGTGAAGTTATATCGACTGAGGTAGTTAGGACGTGTGTCACGCATGCCTTCTTCAACAACAACAACCAATGTTAGCTAACATAGGATGGACCACATTGGAAAAGAGAGAGCTACTGATGGTCAAACCAAAACATGGGTTCATCAGTTAATTAAATCCACAATAGTTAGTTTAAGCCAGCCAATCGCGTAGGGAGTTGTAGACTGTCTGGCTGACTGGTTCGGGTCTTTAGGATGGTAAGAACCATTGACGGCGCAAGACAGTTGGTGATATGGCTCAAAGTGATCGTTCTTAACGAATACTGCAGATGTATTCACTCCTTGTAGTTTACCAAATCCAATAAAATCCTATTCTTTCACATAACTATTCTCTTCGCCTCACATTCCTGTCTACTATCTCTCTGTTGAATTCCTCCTTACTCTCTCTCTTTCTTGCCTCGTGTGCTATATGGAGTGGAGTGTGGCAACTTGAACTCCTGCACATCTGTACAATAATAATAATAATAACAGCTTTATTCCAAACAGTATTTGTGGCACATGTACGGAATTTCCAGCGTGCATTACAATATTGTATCTAATTATCTCACAAATTTTATAAGATTTTAAAATCAAAAAAGCAACGCCAAAAAAAAAGATAAATAAAAATAATAGCGTTGCGTTTACATTTTAAACAATGCACCACAGGATATGAAATATAAAATTAGTGTGTAATAGAAGATGTGAACAACAGTGTAAAAGTAACGAAGAAAGGAAAACAAAAACTAATGGGACTATTTGTTAGAGTGCCGCTGGAAGTTGATCGTGTCATACCTAACGGATTTCTCATCACATAACAGCTGTGCCAGATATGGTAGGTATTGTGGAGATTTTGTACTTGGTAGTCCTGGAATATAGCCTCCTATAGCTGCTTCTAGTTCTACCAGATGAAATGCAAGGAGACAGCTGCGTATAGAGAGGATGCTCGGGGTCTGACAATATTGTATTCGCTAGTTTCTTACATGACATAATATGTCTATCTACAATAGTGTTCACCAGTTGGTTTAACGATATCCCACTTGCCCTACTAACAGCTTTTAGTGCCCTTCTCAGCGAAGCAAAGTCTTTCTTAAGTAGTCCAGGAAAGACTAATGGGGAGCAGTAAAGGAGGATGGGTAGAATACAAGAATTTACAAACTGAGAAAGTAAAGACTGCTTTATGCCAGACTGCCTAAATTTCCTAATGTAGAACGTTAAGCGAAACATCTTTCTAGTAACTAGCAAGATGTGGGAAGACCAGGAAAGATCGGTGGAAAAACTCAGCCCAAGGCACTTGACATTAGATGTAATTGCAACCTCTATGCCGTCAATGATAGTGGGGCCATGTGAGCTAGCTAGTTGTTGTAGGTCACGTTTTCGTCTGAAAGTGAAATTGACTACCTGACATTTAGACGGATTCAGCTTAAGACCGTTTGAAGAGGACCACTGACTAATTTCCGACAGGAAGTTATTTAATTTGGAACAATCTGACTGAGATTTGACAGGCATAGAAACAGAGAGGTCATCAGCATACTTAACAAAAGTGGCTACATCAGAATGGGGCAAGTCATGTAAGAGGAAAGAAAACAGGAAAGGAAAAAGAACAGCACCTTGAGGAACACCAGCTAAAGTAAGTGAGGTAGTGGAGGACTTTCCATTGTAGACGGTGTACTGCTTCCTATCAGAAAAATAGGAATGCAACCACTTATTTGTCCAGCTTTCAGCCTGTGCTGCAGCAAGCTTACTTAGCAATATATACCTAGGTACAGAGTGAAATGCAGATGTGTAATCAAGGAAGGCACACCGAACGTACTTAGCTGCTTTATCTAAACTAGAGACTATATTATGATGTAGGACAACAGTGGCATCTAAGGTACACCTACTATGTTTATAGGCAAACTGGTTGGGGTCATTGAAAGGCTTTAAAGAGGGTTCAAGATTAAGTAAAATAAGTCTTTCCATAACTTTCAAAAAAGGTGAGGTAATAGCATTGGGTCTAAACTTAACAATGGGTCCACTGGTTGATTTAGGCACTGGAACAATCTTGATATTTTTCCATGAGTCAGGTATAATACAAAGTTCTACACTGAAAGCAGTCAGTCAGTGATTCACAAGCAAATGGAGAAGTATTGGATATGTATGTCAAAGATACCGTTGAGTGTAACACCCCACATCAAGCAGGCCTTAGAATCTTCCCTGAATGAGAAGCCAGCAGCGAGTTAGGTGTCTGAGAGTAACATGGAGGAGACGAAAGCCTGCAGATTCAATCATGGAGCGATCTAAAGACAACTGCAGAGAAGAGAATCAAATGGAGATCTGTTGCTGAAACCCTATGTTCCACATAGGAACCCAAGGGAATAATAATAAATAATATCCAAATGAACAATATAACTTACGTAAATGTTTGAAATTGGTCTCTTTTAAATGAATTATTTACAATAGAGTCACTACAAGCAGAAGAATGTTCCATTAATGTATGTTTTGTACTATCATTCATGTAACTGCTTGTAAAATGCTTAGTTATCTCATTATCATAAACTTCATAAAATGAATCCAAAAATCGTATCATTTTTTCAAAACTTTGAGAAGAAAATCCAAGGGAGAATTTTCTTAAAAATAAACCTAAAATAAGAATTGAGTTGATACATTTGCAATGGTGGTAACATATGCTTTACAATATGATGTAAAGAAAGAAAAACCGGTTACTTAAAGACGTCTACTATAACCGATGGCTGCTATCTTGACGTGGTGATTAACTGGGCTTGTATATCGCTATCACACAATGACCTCCATCGGCTGGAACTAATGATCCTTCATGTTCTGCCATCCAAAAAATCTTACTCAAATAGTAGCTGGACTAAAAACAGTTATCACCATACTATTCACAATTCTTATTTACCAATAGCTTTGTTAGTTTACATATGTATATATATATATATATATATATATATATATATATATATATATATATATATATATATATATATATATATAGTCTTTCAATACCATTGTGAAATAAAGTACAGTGAATACAGACTTCCACGCTCAGTACTGTAGTGAAGGTGGATGAGAGTTTCATGACACTTCTCTTGAACTGTAGCTTACTGCTTGACATACTCGACTCAAATCCCCCCCCCCACACACACACACACAAACACTCATCTACGGAAGCTTTGGAAGCTTCACAGTATCATCACTTTTCACACAACAGATTTGGCTTATTACCAAGTTCAACATCCTATTGTTTTTGTCATCCTTGGCCTAATTCTCACCATTTCCCACGTCAATACCATACACCACCCACCCACCCTACCACCTCAACATGTTTAAGGTCCAGCCTCACTTCATGACATCTCATTTACTATTTCCAAAGTAATAAGTGAGCAACTAATAGACAAACAAACCTTATCAAATTTCTAACTTTATGCTGTTAAGTACCACGTAATTTAAATTCACGTTCGCAGTGGAACATAGTGCTTCAAGCTAGTGGCTTGAAGTTTCTGTAGCAGTGTTTATTTTACAGGATGGGGTTGGTAGCGTCATGCCCAACCTTTACTCTTTACCAGCATTATTTCCGGCTCAGCGAGGTAAAGGAGTGCGCCGGCCGGGGATCGAACCCCGGACCATGTGGATGGTCGGCGAGCGTCCTAACCGCTATACCACCGACGTAATTTAAAACTTGTTTTGTTTTTTACGTCTAAAGCCACTTCTGAGTAATTATATGAATTGTCACTCCCCCCTCGTCCTATTACTCAATACAAATACGACTGTACAGCCTCTGAAGGAAGATGATTTCATCGATAAAGAAAATTTTCTTCGCTGGTGAATTTTTCTTTTATTTTCTTCATGACTCAATGGGTATTTTCGGTGGCAATGAAAGCACTTGATATGTTTCCTAAGTTTTCTGTTAAGCTTGCCATAGCGAACACAAGAACCAGTTTTCTAAAGGGCTGTATTGATATCGAAAGAATATCCCAAGCACTACTGGAAATGTCTTCGTCGCAATCATATCACCCCCCCCACCACCAAAATCATCGCTCTTTGAAACGTCACACACTAAAATATGATCGATGAAATAAAATCTCGACTACCAGAGATACAAAGAGACATCTCACTAAGAACACATGCTCTAGTTGAACTGGGAGAAGACGAACAGAAAAAAAGGTGAATTACTTTACTTACCAAAAACACTGTCTTTCGTTGAAAGAAACTTTTTACGGATATTTGTATCGTCATTATCCATGTCAACATCGATCTCTTCTTCTTCATCATCATTATCAGCGTTATTACCATCATTTCGATTTTTTGCAAAGATGACATTTTTGAATGTAGATAAACTTGTATACGCGACAGCTTCAGAATAATCACGTAGTCTTTCAATGCTATATTTTCGATTGAATGTACAGTTGTCATTTTATTTTAAACATATATATATATACTTACCGACCCTGGACTAACGGTTTCAAATATGCTGAGATACATGGTTGGCCGTCAGAATTACTCTTTAATATATCGAATGGATTACTAAAGTTTTCCTTTTAAATCAAAAAGATAAGTGAAATGAGAATTTCGCAAACCTTTAACATATTGTACATCAACATATACAAGTTAATCTTTTCTTCTGAGCTTATACAATGTGTTCTATCCACAGAATTATCTGATACCAATAATGAAGAGATATATTCCCGCAGAACAACAAATAATATAAAACTGTTGTGAGTAATACTGTCGACAAAAAAGCTTTCACTGCCAATTCTCTTTAAAAAATCCATCTTTCATAACAATTGTATCTAAAAATAAGAAGAAACCATACGATATGTTTTAAAACGAAAAAAGAGCATTAATATATAAACTATTTAGAAAAATATATTTATGGACACATACATCTCAAGGAAGCCATTACTTTAGAAAACCCTTGGAAGTTTCGTACTATTATACAAACGAAATAGTCTTTATGAGGCCACGAAACGTAAAGAACCAACTTTGTTTCATCGGAACTTTAAATAATCTTATTACTATCACCATTCCAACAACTCAGCGTCAACGAAGGCTACCACAGTCAAGTGGAGGGTCAAACTACGCAAAAGTTTACCGAAGATTGGCAACTTTTACCTTACAAGCAAGCAGCAGCCCCAAAGAAATCAATTTGGTTTCGGTAGCTCATAAAAACGATAGCGAATAATGAAACCCCTTTACTTTTATTTGAATACATTTCGCTGCTTGTCTACAAATACGATAAAGTCTTAGGTGTACTTTGTACAACAAGATGTGATCAACCTGAGAAGCAAAAGTCATCCTAGCTTCTAGGCCAGTAAAATACGATAAACAGCATTTAGATGAAAGTACTGATAATGCATGTTTTAATGCTAATTGCTTTCCAATAAACCTTGGAGATACCTGTTTTCTGATTGTTAGTAAGGTATCCAACTAGTACGTAAATAACAGACACAACAGTCTTATGACTGGCCTCTGGACAAGCATGACGATTGATTTGTTTCACATCTGCGTCGGTGGCACAGTGGTTAGGACTCTCGCCGACCATGCACATGGTCCGGGGTTCGAGCCCGCGCCGACGCACACTCGATATCTATGGTCGGCCTACAAAGTTTGGGATACCAATATCCATGCTGAAAATTCCATACTTATACCAAAAATACAGTGTGAAATCAAGCTGTAAATCAAAAAGAAAAAGAAGAACCCTCGTAAGAGCATGTGTTATGGCCTGGAATTATGCGTGGAAATGCACGAAAAGAACTCCTAGATCTAAAACACTCGAAGAGTATATCTTTCTGGCAAACCAAATTGAATAAATAGTGTCAAGCGCACATAGCAACATCACACTTGGGTCTTACATGTGACAGATACCGGAGAGACGAAGTAAGGAGATACTAAATGCGGTACTATTCTTGGATTGACATGAACGATAAATAGAGAAAATCCCTACATATAAGCTGCCTTACTAGAATCACATCGAATTAAAATGTCATAACGTCTCAGAATTTTATTGAGTTCCCTCGTGTCAGTAACTACATTGTAACATAAACACAACTGAAATAAAATCATTGTCTGAATAAACAGTTAAAAAAGACTACAGAAATGTGTTCGAGAAAAGATAGTCAAGCTTTACAGAGAAATAAATCATAGAAGAACGGAGTTACGACGGACATATGATTCCGAATCAATGAACGCGCGTTTGGCCTTGAGGGAGTAATATCCAATAGGATTCAGGTTTCAAACTTTCGGTTGAAGATTGGAGGTTTCAAGCCTATATCAATCGGTGTCGGATAAGTGTCCGTGTCTTTCTTATCACTGATATGAGAGTTTGGTAAACTGGCTTCAGAGAGCTTAACCATTCTATCTCAACAAGTTACTTTTTTTCTGCATTAGCTGTATTCATATCTTCAGAATATTTTGAACAAACTAGTTACCACAAGTTTCATTTACGCTTGCAGGTTAAATTAGCAATCTGATATTTGGAAAGATTTAGACTCAGATCACTTGGCAAAGACCACTGGCTAATTTATCATAAAAGTAATCCTCCTCTGAAAGCTGGACTTATCCGTCACGTTGGCTGAAATTTAGCTAGGGAACGTTTAGATAAAATTGTGTTATATATTTTCCGGATTAAAAAACTCATTTCTTGACTACTTATGTGGGTTTCCTCGTCGTGGGATCTGACTGCGACACACTCTCAGCATATTGGTTGCAATGATTAGTGTTTCAGACGAACTGTGTCAAAATATCGCTATAATTAGCAGGATGAAATAGTTGGAGGGTAATGTCATCTACACAAATAGTTCACTGTATATAGAAGCCCTACCTTTCGGCATAGTATCATTCAGTGAAGACTTCACGTTTCAGAATTTCAATGTAGCTATTTTCGTGTGAAGGACAGTACTACTTGACAAACGAATGCCATCAGTACATGGCAATCACCTGTAGATGACAAGAGAACCTCTTGTGGGATAAGATGTTATCATGTAGGTGTGTCTTCCACCTTATCTGTATTTCGATAGGAGTTTTCGTAAGTCGAAAGGCTATCTCTAAATGGAATTATTCTATATTTGCACTGATTGGTGCAATGTAATATGGGTTATGTGGATTCAATGTATAAAAAATATCCCAACTTTATTAATATTGTGCCGTTGTCTGCTTAGCTGACTGCTAAGCTAACAAATGTAGGTGGTTCTCATGACTGTTGCGAATGCACAGCAGTGGAGAACGCAATCACTCGTTTAAATTTTCTCACTGTTCCACTTAGTGCAGTAATTCAGCGTATAGTATTCTTCCGCATATGTTGTCAATGTAGTCGAAGACTGAACGATCAATTCATGGTCGCTGGCCCAATTCCAACCCTATATTTTTTGCGGGAGTCATCAATATAGCAGTCATCGTCTCACCGCTCTCTGTTCGGTGGAAGACAGAAAACTATCAGAAATCTTGTGTGTAATAATCTTATTGTTGGCCACATATTGGCGTAAGAATAAAGCATTCTCGAGTCACCAATCTGTGTTCTGGTTTTTCGCGCTGGTTATTACAAATTAATTCCGAAAGTCGTCCAGGGACAGCGTGAGGTCCAGTGTAGTAAGATCTGGACATTGACAGTTTCTGAGAGTTGGCTGACACATGTATTGTGTTGATTATGGGAACTAAATTTAGTTAGCTTTATTACTATGAATCTACTGTCTGTTATACTATTCTCACTGATACTGTAAACTTAATGCTGTAATGTTTTTGATCATCAGTATTGGAGATGAATTTCTCCTGAAATATCCATTGGCATGAAGCAGTATAGATGCAGTGTCACGATTGAATGTTTAAGTTGCTTTATATGGCATTGTTTTCCTCACCAACACAGGTACGAACATGTCTGGTACCAAGCAATATATTCGAGGTAGCCATAATAATCATAGTCTCAGAGCCTAACATCAAAAAAGGAGGAAGGGTGGCGCTAGCTGATCAGTAGATATGGTGGTGGTCACTAAGGTGAATCACCCCATTCTGCAGGAACAGCAATATGCAATTTGAAGGCTCGAGACATTTCTGATTTTTATGAGGGCTTAGATCTTTATCTTGAAAAAGATAATAATGAACGCCTAGACAGATCATGCTTCTGCCTTTAAAAATATACCACTCGCTCAGCCTAATGTTGAAATGCGACCACATGAGCTCTGCACAGATTTATGGGGCATCTTATAAATTAACTTGCTATCTATTGTCGGACCTTTAAATACCACTTCACAATGTCTTATCTCATTCATTTTCTAATAGCGTTGTCAATGTAGTTGAAGATTGAACGATCAATTCATGGTTGTTCGCTCAAAACCAACTTCTCCAATTTTCGCGGAGGCATCAATACGACAGTCATCGTCTCATCGGTCGCTGTTCAGAAAGAAGTCAAGAGATAACTGTCAGAAGTAATATTGTGATTCATTATTGTAATATTTGTTCACAGACTTTAGTTGTAACATTGTTTATATGTTGGTGTTACAATAAAGAATCCTCGAGTCGCCAATTGGTGTTTTTGTTTTTTCGTCCGTTATTACTAAGCGTTTCTGAGAAACTTCAAGGAACAGCGTGAGCCCGAGTGCAGCAAGAGCTGGGCATTAACGGTTTACGAAACGTGGCTGACAAACCTCTTTACTCGATCCTCATTATATTCCATTAAACCTAACATTTTATAGATCTTTATGAATTTGATTTGACTTATTCTATTGCTATTCTCTGTAGGGTACCGTTGTGCACCAAATGCACAAGAAGGTATATAATGTAATTGAAGGATAAATGTATAAAAACCAAAAGTGGACATCATGATAGTAAGACATATATGGGTAGCATTATATATTGCAAATGAACGTTGTCCGCCTCGGGATTTTCCTTTATTGATGCATTTTGTAATGATACTTGCACTTACCTATTTCATTACACTTTATTGATTCAATTTAGCACTTTAACTTTTCTAAAACAGCTTCCAATCCCTTGTAAACGTTGTACTTACCTCAATATTGGTTGGTTATCGTATGCCTACAACCACGGGATGAAAACGAAACGAATTCGATTTTCCCGCCCAACCTGGAGGACAACTGTAGAATTCAATAACTATACGGCCTGGTTCAGACAATGAGTGTATTTATATATATATCAAATGTTTAGCTGTCGAAACATTACATAACATACAATCTACGATTTGAGATTATATCATACTTGATCGTGCCTGTAAAAATGGGATGCATTTTCATGTAAATTTATGTTTACATGAGAATACACATTATTATTAACAAGTTTGTATCTTACAATATTTTAAGTCTTGCTCCACGCTGTTAAAACTTTGCATAGCTGTTTAGAGTTGAGACATGTTCAGCTTATGTTTGGTGGCTGCAGTTCCCTAAATATTGGAAAGTAATTTCTGTAGGATTCACAAAACTATGTTTACTGGACTTTACTGAGATTGTGTATTAATTTCTCAATTACACATTTGCGGTACTTCCTTTCCAATATCGAATGTCGTTTTTACGAGCTAGTATAAACCAATTTGATTTCTTTGTGCTCGCCTCCTGATTTCGAGGTATAGGTTCTTGGTATTCGGTAAACTTCTGTGTAGCTCGTCCCGCCACTCGGCTGTCGTGGCTCTGATTGATTCCCCAAGGAGTAGTGTCGGAACTAATTAAATGTGGTTTGTAGTATGAGGTGTGTTAAGACTGTTACCACTGTGAATGGATTTGATTCTTTCTCCAGTTAGTTCTCTTGTGTCGTCGTCAAAAGAAGAGGCGAT